AGAAATTCACTGACCTGCATCAATAATGTAATTTATTTAAAGTCATATAAGCGCGATGAAGATGCTTAACTCGTACATAAAAAAATGATGGTTATTAGGTCAATGGAATTTCATCAAATTTATAATATAAAGCATAAGTGGCGTTTATTTAATGCTAAATATAGTAATTAATCTTCTCTTTTTCTGCTTCATGCGGAGTAAAATTCAGCATGGCTCGTAAACTTAATCGCGAAATATCCAAAGCCATAAAAAGAAATGGAAAATTGGGACAAAGCCTAGATTTTTGGATGGAAAAACTTGATGAACTGGACTGAATTCATATATCTTAAATGTTGCTGAATGTATGTGAAGTAAGTTGTTGCGATTATGCAATTAAATAACATTTCGTTTCTCTCTTTCCTCGGCGCTCAATCTTAAAAGTTATTACATGCATGTCTGCCCACCAATGGCTCAAGACTGTATGTGTAGCTTGCACTTTTCTTCTTCTTTGAGAAGCTGAGAGAAAAGTGTGAGTAAAAAAAGAAATCTCTCACTCTGCACGGCCTTGTACTTCCGCTAAGAGTAAATGAATGCAGTTATCCGTAGAAAAAATGTTGTTTCGTTTATTTATGAGAGTCTTTTGTTTTTGTTTTTATGATATTTCGTGCGTGTTTCTCTTTCTTGGAATTTCTTTTTAGCGCATTTTCCTTAGGAAACAATGCGCTTATAATTCCACTTTGTCTGGCTGGCTGCCCGTTTTTCTCAGAACTGGAAGCACGTAGAGACTTCTAGTTTTTTGCATTCGATAGCTGCTAAATGATATTGCGGACGATCGCATATTTTTTTTCTTAATTCATCTTATTTTCTTAATTAAATTAACTTTTCTGTTTTTGTGGTTCACATAATTGATATTGGATTAGCTGGAAGACAAAAAATGTGTTTTTTGACTTCACGCCTTTTTAAACCTTTCAATACTGAAATTAAATCCTTTAAATTAAATACTAAATTAATTCATAATATTTAATCATCTTTTAGCAATCAAATATTAAGAAAAGTAATTTTAAACTATTGTGGCGCAAAACTAATTTACATTTTTACTGACCTATGCGAGGAAAACGCGCTTAGTTCGTCCGTTCACATCTGTAACGGCGACTTCTATACTAGTTTTGAAAAAAGCCTGTTATGATCGAAACCAAAAATGTTTTAAATTGCATATTAAAACATATCTAGGTATTATAAATGATAAAAATTCTAATATAGATACAAAATTGATATTTTTTTGAAAATAGCCTACTATGATCAAAACCAAAAATGCTTTAAATTGCATTTTAAAACATATCTGGGTTTTATAAATGATAACAATGCTAATATAGATATAAAATTGATATTTTTTTGAAAATAGCCTACTATGATCAAAACCAAAAATGCTTTAAATTGCATATCAAAACATATCTAGGTATTATAAATGATAAAAATTCTAATATAGATACAAAATTGATATTTTTTTGAAAATAGCCTACTATGATCAAAACCAAAAATGCTTTAAATTGCATATCAAAACATATCTAGGTATTATAAATGATAAAAATTCTAATATAGATACAAAATTGATATTTTTTTGAAAATAGCCTACTATGATCAAAACCAAAAATGCTTTAAATTGCATATTAAAACATATCTAGGTATTATAAATGAAAAAAATTCTAATAAAGATACAAAATTGATATTTTTTTGAAAATAGCCTGCTATGATCAAAACCAAAAATGCTTTAAATTGCATATTAAAACATATCTAGCTATTATAAATGATAAAGAATGCTAATATAGATATAAAATTGATATTTTTTGAAAACAGCCTACTATGATCAAAACCAAAACTGCTTTAAATTGCATTTTAAAACATATCTGGGTATTATAAATGATAACAATGCTAATATAGATATAAAATTGATATTTTTTGAAAACAGCCTACTATGATCAAAACCAAAAATACTTTAAATTGCATTTTAAAACATATCTGGGTATTATAAATGATAACAATGCTAATATAGATATAAAATTGATATTTTTTGAAAACAGCCTACTATGATCAAAACCAAAACTGCTTTAAATTGCATATTAAAATATATCTAGGTATTATAAATGATAAAAATTCTAATATAGATACAAAATTGATATTTTTTTGAAAATAGCCTGATATGATCAAAACCAAAAATGCTTTAAATTGCATATTAAAACATATCTAGGTATTATAAATGATAAAGAATGCTAATAAAGATACAAAATTGATATTTTTTTGAAAAAAGCCTCCTATGATCAAAACCAAAACTGCTTTAAATTGCATATTAAAATATATCTAGGTATTATAAATGATAAAAATTACTAATATAGATACAAAATTGATATTTTTTTGAAAACAGCCTACTATGATCAAAACCAAAAATGCTTTAAATTGCATATTAAAACATATCTAGCTATTATAAATGATAAAGAATGCTAATATAGATATAAAATTGAAATTTTTTTGAAAATCGCCTACTATGATCAAAACCAAAAAAGGTTTAAATTGCATCTCAAAACATATCTAGGTATTATAAATGATAAAAATTCTAATATAGATACAAAATTGATATTTTTTTGAAAATAGCCTGATATGATCAAAACCAAAACTGCTTTAAATTGCATCTCAAAACATATCTGGGTATCATAAATGATAACAATGCTAATATAGACATAAAATTGATATTTTTTGAAAACAGCCTACTATGATCAAAACCAAAAATGCTTTAAATTGCATTTTAAAACATATCTAGGTATTATAAATGATAAAGAATGCTAATAAAGATACAAAATTGATATTTTTTTGAAAAAAGCCTCCTATGATCAAAACCAAAAAAGGTTTAAATTGCATCTCAAAACATATCTAGGTATTATAAATGATAAAAATTACTAATATAGATACAAAATTGATATTTTTTTGAAAACAGCCTACTATGATCAAAACCAAAAATGCTTTAAATTGCATATTAAAACATATCTAGCTATTATAAATGATAAAGAATGCTAATATAGATATAAAATTGAAATTTTTTTGAAAATCGCCTACTATGATCAAAACCAAAAAAGGTTTAAATTGCATCTCAAAACATATCTAGGTATTATAAATGATAAAAATTCTAATATAGATACAAAATTGATATTTTTTTGAAAATAGCCTACTATGATCAAAACCAAAAATGCTTTAAATTGCATCTCAAAACATATCTAGGTCGCGTAAATGATAAAAATGCTAATATAGATACAAAATTGATATTTTTTTGACAACAGCCTACTATGATCAAAACCAAAAATGCTTTAAATTGCATATTAAAACATATCTAGGTATTATAAATGATAAAAATTCTAATATAGATACAAAATTGATATTTTTTTGAAAATAGCCTACTATGATCAAAACCAAAAATGCTTTAAATTGCATATTAAAACATATCTAGGTATTATAAATGATAAAGAATGCTAATTAAGATATAAAATTGATATTTTTTTGAAAATAGCCTACTATGATCAAAACCAAAAATGCTTTAAATTGCATATTAAAACATATCTAGGTATTATAAATGATAAAGAATGCTAATTAAGATATAAAATTGATATTTTTTTGAAAATAGCCTACTATGATCGAAACAAAAAATGCTTTAAATTGCATATTAAAACATATCTAGGTATTATAAATGATAAAAATTCTAATATAGATACAAAATTGATATTTTTTTGAAAATAGCCTACTATGATCAAAACCAAAAATGCTTTAAATTGCATATTAAAACATATCTAGGTATTATAAATGATAAAAATGCTAATATAGATACAAAATTGATATTTTTTTGAAAATAGCCTACTATGATCAAAACCAAAAAAGGTTTAAATTGCATTTTAAATCATATCTAGGTATTATAAATGATAACAATGCTAATATAGATATAAAATTGATATTTTTTTGAAAACAGCCTACTATGATCAAAACCAAAAAATGCTTTAAATTGCATTTTAAAACATATCTAGGTATTATAAATGATAACAATGCTAATATAGAAATAAAATTGATATTTTTTGAAAACAGCCTACTATGATCAAAACCAAAAATGCTTTAGATTGCATTTTAAAACATATCTAGTTATTATAAATGATAAAAATGCTAATATAGATATAAAATTGATATTTTTTTGAAAATAGCCTACTATGATCAAAATCAAAAATGCTTTAAATTGCATTTTAAAACATATCTAGGTATTATAAATGTTAAAAATGCTAATATAGATATAAAATTGATATTTTTTTGAAAATAGCCTGCTATGATCGAAACCAAAAATGCTTTAAATTGCATTTTTAAACAAATCTAGGTATTATAAATGGGCAATTTCAAAAATGATTTGTTTGTGACGCTGAGCAATAATTTACAATTTTTGAATCAATAATGCGAAATATGTATTTAAGACTTGTGTTTTTCTGAAAGTCCTTGCCAAGACCTATATTTTGGTATATAACAAGTTTCTCTTAGACATTGTATTATAATTAAAAATTAATTTAAAGTGCTCAGCGACACAAAAATTTTGAGGAAATTCGATTTTGAGGTTTTAAAATTTTAAATTTTTAAATACCGTTTTAAATTGTTTTAATTCATAGGGTTTTATCAACTCTTAACAATCAAATATTAAGATAATTAAAGGTTTGTAAAACTAGTTTTACAATTTTTTATTAAAAATTTAACTGTTATATTTTATTTGAATGTTAAATAAGTTATATGGTTTTGACTGATTTTGATAACTGCTGCATGGTTTTCAACATAATAATGCTGTTGTACGGTTCCAAACGTTTTGTTATTTTTTATAAGGTTCAAAAATAAATTATAAGTAATTAAGAAAATCAATTTAAAGCAATTCTAAGCAGTCAAGCTTTCAAGCCACACAAATCGTAACGTTCACGAGAAATTTAAATTGTGCTTATTGCGTCGCAGATAGTGTAGAAATCTTAATTAACACTGAAAAAACTTTGTATATTTATTAGATTTTTCGTCGATTTTGTGTTTAAGAATTTTCTGAGGTTTAAAATGGCATTAAACTTGTCAAGGTAGGTGAAATATTGTCCAATAAATAGCTGACAATACAAAACAATCACAATTATTAATTATTGATTAAAATTATGTAACATTTCAATTAAAAAATAAACAATATAAATCAAATCATAAAAAAAATTCTAATTTTAGGACTTTCTGTAATCGAGCTTTGCTCTTCAATCCAGCAGTTTATAAAGCTCAATTAAGTGCTGCAAGATGTGTATCATTGAAAGTTGTTAAAGCACCAGCTCCATTAAATGAAACTCATGATGATAGAAATGCAAGATTTAACCGTCCACAATCTCCTCATCTTACTATCTATGCCCCTCAATTGACAGCTATGCTTTCAATTACTCATCGTGGAACTGGATTCGCTTTGGCTGGATATGTTGCAATGTTGGGATTGGCTGGTAAGTCTAATTAACATTAAATTCTCTGACTAGATTAATAAAAGTTTTTAATTGTGTAGGTCTTGGATGTCCCGAAGGTGCAAATGCAGTAGTTGCTGGATTAGAATCATTGCAACTTGGAGCTGTCACATTGGCTGGATTTAAATTCTGTATTGCTTTTCCATTTGCTTATCACATGATGAATGGAGTTCGTCATCTTTTCTGGGATACTGGCAAGTTCTTGAGCATTAAGGAGGTCTACATGACTGGATATGCAATGGTCTTGGCAGCAACAGTAATATCTCTAGCACTCACATTCATGAATTAAATTAGTCAAGCCAGTCTGTACAAGAGTATTTCAATCTATTTTGAACAAATTCACAAGTCGTAGATTAGAGATATTCCGGCTAAATTGAGAAGTCATGAAGTTTTCATTTAAATTATATATTTGTATTAATTAAATTAAATTTATTATTGTGTTGCATGATACATACATCTGAATACGACAGATACCAAAAGAAAGATTTTTGAATACCTAATAAAAATGTTACTATCACTAAATCATCATATTTTGTTTGTTCCTGTAGATATGTTAAAACAATCTTAATGTGTGATAAATACACACTCGCTCATCGTCAAAATTGGAAATGATTGATTCCAAAATTGATAGTCTATTTTTAACGGTAAGATGTAATTCAAATAAATTAACGACTCTTTAAAATTCAAATTATGTTCGGATTACGAAAATTCTCTCACTTCTTCTAGAACGAAATTAATCTGGCGAATATCTTACTAATTACGCACTCTATCAAGTGAAGATAGAAGTCAAGAGATCATTTTATAAATATTTCGCATTAATAAAGTACAATAATCAAGTACTTTGATGTATTTCATGAGAAAATCGGTAAATAAGTGAACGATGTTGATTTCCCCTCAAAAAATGCTCACATGCCGATTCTCCCCTCCAGAAAAATTCAAATCACAGAGAACCTATAAAAGAGGAGTAACCGTTTTTTACTCATTATTTGAAGTTTGATATCCAACGTAGACGGAAATTCAAGCTCTCGCTTAAAAGCATTAATTTAATTCTCTCAAGTTTTTGTCAAGTTAAACTACATTAAAACCAATCAAAATGGTAAGTAACACATCAATTAATAGATAAATGTGAAAATTGGGTGAAAATAGGAAAAATTTTCTATGAAAAATCGATAAAACATTTTTTCCTCTTGTTGTAACGCCATTTTGTTTTTTGCGGTGAATCAACTTTCACATTTATGATTTAAAGTAGAAAATAGCAAAAAGTACAGTTAATTGCGATATGTCGTGCTACATGCTCAACATAGAAAGCAATAAAAATCGATTTTTACTTTCTAAATTCATGTGAAAGCCTTTTTTCTGTACCACGCCCAAACATTTTATGAATAATCGATAATTGATGACTCATTTCATTCTTTTTCTCTTCTATTTCTATAGCGTGAATGTATCTCAGTTCATGTTGGTCAAGCCGGTGTTCAAATCGGTAATGCCTGTTGGGAATTGTACTGCCTCGAACATGGAATTCAGCCAGATGGTCAAATGCCATCAGACAAGACAATTGGAGGTGGAGATGATTCATTCAATACCTTCTTCTCAGAAACTGGAGCTGGAAAGCATGTTCCACGTGCTGTATTCGTTGATTTGGAACCAACTGTCGTCGATGAAGTCCGAACTGGAACATATCGTCAACTTTTCCATCCAGAACAATTGATTACTGGCAAGGAAGATGCAGCCAATAACTACGCTCGTGGTCACTACACTATTGGAAAGGAAATTGTCGATTTAGTCTTGGATCGTATCCGTAAATTGGCTGATCAATGTACCGGATTACAAGGTTTCTTGATCTTCCACTCATTCGGTGGAGGTACTGGATCTGGATTCACATCATTGTTGATGGAACGTCTCTCAGTCGATTATGGAAAGAAATCAAAATTGGAATTCGCTATCTATCCAGCACCACAAGTCTCAACAGCTGTTGTCGAACCATACAATTCAATCTTGACAACACATACAACATTAGAACACTCTGATTGTGCATTCATGGTCGATAATGAGGCAATATATGATATCTGTCGTCGTAATTTGGACATTGAACGCCCAACATACACAAACTTGAATCGTTTGATTGGTCAAATTGTCTCATCCATTACTGCATCACTTCGTTTTGATGGTGCCTTAAATGTCGATTTAACTGAATTCCAAACCAATTTGGTTCCATATCCACGTATTCATTTCCCATTGGTCACATACGCTCCAGTCATCTCAGCTGAAAAGGCTTATCACGAACAATTGAGCGTTGCTGAAATCACCAATGCATGTTTCGAACCAGCAAATCAAATGGTTAAATGCGATCCACGTCACGGAAAATACATGGCTTGTTGTATGTTGTATCGTGGTGATGTCGTTCCAAAAGACGTTAATGCTGCTATTGCAACAATTAAAACAAAGAGAACTATCCAATTCGTCGATTGGTGCCCAACTGGATTCAAAGTTGGTATCAATTATCAACCACCAACTGTCGTTCCAGGTGGTGATTTGGCTAAAGTACAACGTGCAGTCTGTATGTTGTCAAATACAACAGCTATTGCTGAAGCATGGGCTCGTTTGGATCATAAGTTTGACTTGATGTATGCCAAGCGTGCATTCGTTCACTGGTATGTCGGTGAAGGTATGGAAGAAGGTGAATTCTCAGAAGCCCGTGAAGATTTGGCTGCTTTAGAGAAGGATTACGAGGAAGTTGGTATGGATTCTGGCGAGGGTGAAGGTGAAGGAGCTGAAGAATATTAAACAACAACTTCAAGACAAGACGAAAATTCATGCTGCATTTATTTTCTGCTTACAACAACAATCTAAAAGAAAGCTTTCGACGATAATATATTGTAATAATTTATTATTTGCATATTCAACTTTATTTTGAGACACAAAATTCAACTGAAAAAAAAAGAAAATAAACAGTAAAACATTTAATGAAGAAACGCTTGAACAAAAGCATGAATTGAAACGAAAATCTCTGTTCTTTATTATCTTTAAACTTTCTCATTTTCTTACAGACTTAACAGTACTTATTTTTAGAAACATGCACACAATTAGACAAAAGAAATGCACGATAGTTTATTGAACCTCTACTGCTTCCACGAAGCATATATGTTGGATTTTTATGTGAATATTTGATGATGTATGCAGCAGTGAATCTACATTTTTAAATGGAATTAACATATTTTCATCTTAGTTCATGCTGTTCGCTCAATTGGAACGAAAAATAACATCTTTTTATAGTATGTGGGCAGACAAAGTTAAAATGATTTCATTGACTACTTCCATTTAAGATTATTACTGTCGATATAAAGGCACACACGGCCATGTATGAATGAATATTTTGCTCAAAAGTGTGTGGTTGAATTGACAATTACATCATTCGTTGAGTAAGCTCGTGGGAAATGCTATATTTGGAGATGTTTTGAATATAGAACTGAAAACAAGTGACGAGATTGAGTAGAAATTTATTCCATTAATGCACAAGGCTTGACTGTATTCCAAAATCAATAGCCTACGACGTTGGCTCAAATTTATGCTGCATTGCAGTATATTTTTCTTCTTATGACTCATGGTTTTTTGGGGGTACTGGGGGTCCTCGATTTGAGTAGTTGCTTTCTTCCAAAAAATTTCTACTCTAATCGAATCTATTCAAATCGAGGCAAAGAATCCATACAAAATCACATGTTTTGTTCCAGAGTCCAAAAAATGTATCAAAACAATGAAAATTTTGATAATTTTTTGCACATTTTACCTCGTTTCTTAACTTTTCCTATGTGTTTTAGATAACTTAATGTATTTCAACGCATATTCATGTTGCTTTTAAACAGAAATTCAAAAAAAAAATATGTTTTTGAAACAAAACAAAAATATGAGAACCTTGCAAATGTTATTTCAACCGAACAATTTGTAGGGTTTTTGAATTTGAACTTTTTAAAAACCGTTAATTTTATATCGATTTTTTAAATTTTTACTTTAATTTTGTAACTTTAGTATTGATTTTTCGATCAATATGATAAGTTCACGCTTATTGCAGAAAAATTTATGTTTTAAAAATATTTTCTGAAATGTTTTTATCAAAAATATTTGTTTTGTAAACAATTCAAATCGAAGAAATCTACTCAAATCGAATATTTTGGTGAGTAAAAAATTTTCTGTTCAAATCGAATCTACTCAAATCGAGGACCCCCAGTATTCTTCTTTTATGCTGTACGTGCGAATTTATGCTGAAATTTATTGAATTTTAATAATTTGAATTTAACAGCCTTTAATATTTGAATTGTATGTCAACAACAACATTGACAAAATTTTATGAATTATAATTCTCAAAATTTTCCACTTTCTATTGATTTTTTCAGGCACATGAGTATTGTAGTCAATAAAATAGCCATTAATCATGTTGTTTACGCTACAAAAATTCTTCAAGTCTTATTAGACTGAAAAATTCAAATCAGAAATTTTTCTACTGGATCTTTTGTATGTGTTAGTATGCTTCCTGTGTTAATACATTAATTGGTCATAAAAGTCAAAAAATCTTATTCTGCACATAAATTATCATAATTACTTCCATTCTCTGCATATTCATAAAAGCAAGAAACAAGAAGAATTCCATAGAAGAAGATAGCATTTCTTGAAACGTGTATATTTTCATGTAAAACATAATGTCAGAGATCATGAGAAACTTTATGTCTAGAGAAAATCGATAATGCAGATTCCCTATACCCGATTAATGGCAAATCATAGGTCTTTGTTATGTCTAATGCATACAAATGCAATTTTCATTAACTTTTAATTACAAATTCAGAAACTTTTGCAACTAATTTATAAGCAGGGATACTGTAAGTAATATCTTATCATCCATATCTATCACCTTCAAACTTCTTCCTTTTTATTTTCTTCGTGACAATCGAATTGAGCATAATAGAATTTAAATTAATGGAGTTTCTCAATTAAGACAGGCTCTAAGCGACATAAAATCAAATAGATAGCTATAAAAGACTTTAAGTAATTGACGTGATAACAAGGAATAGTTAATAATATGGAAAATACAAGGATTATTATAATTGGAGCTGGATGTTCGGGAATTTCTGCGGCATCAAAACTAATTGAGAACGGATTCGAAAATGTGCTAATTTTAGAGGCTGAAAATAGAATTGGAGGTAGACTGTACACTAAGGAATTCGCTAGCTCAGTCGTTGATCTTGGAGCTCAATGGTATAATTGGAAAAATCAAGTTTAATTAACCTTTAATAATTTTTTTGTTTACTTTTTTTAAGGTGTCACGGAGAAGTGGATAATTCAGTCTATGACTTAGTTAAAGACTATAAAATACTTGATGAATCATCAATTTCTTATCCAAATGTAAGTTTCTTGAGATCAACAGGACAATCAGCTGATAATGAAAAGTGTGGACGATTAGTTATGCTTTGTTCTGATATTTTGGACAATTGCAATGAAGATCTTAAGGATTCAAACGGTTCATTAGGAAGTTACTTTGTTAAAAAGTATCAGGAAGCATTGGCATCACCAGAATTTACTGACATTGATGCTGAAACAGCCACTGAACTTTTGGAATATTTTCATAAATTTGAAAATTCAATTGAAGCCTCAGATACTTGGTATGACACTTCTGGAAGTGGATATTTACAATATTGGGAATGTGATGGACATCCATTGTTAAATTGGCGTGATAAAGGATATGGTACTGTGCTGGATTATATCATGAAGAAGAAACCAGATCCAGCAAATGACTTGAAAGTTGAAAATAAGATCAAGTTTAACAAGGAAGTAGCTAATATTGATTGGAATGATCCAGCTAGAAACCATATTGTAGTATCGTGTAATGATGGAAGTTCATATGATGCCGATCACGTCATTGTGACTGTTTCTTTAGGTGTTTTAAAGGAAAACTATAAGAAAATGTTCAACCCAAAACTTCCAGATCTGAAGATTAATGCTATTGAAGGCTTATCGATTGGGACTGTCGATAAAATCTTTTTAGAATTCTATGAGCCATTCTGGCACAATGACTGGGCTGGATTTAGTCTATTGTGGACAAAAAAAGATTCTGAAGAAATAAGGAAGACACCAAATGCATGGCTTGAAGATATTTTTGGCTTCTATAAAGTTGATTATCAACCTAATATTCTATGTGGCTGGATTGGTGGTTCATCAGCACGTAAAATGGAACAACTGGACGATGAAACTGTTATGAATGGATGTATGTACTTGTTTGAGAAGTTCTTGAGCAAGACAATGAAATTTACCAAGCCTGTTAAGATGCTTAGATCAAATTGGTATACTAACAAGCATTTTAGAGGTTCTTATAGCTTTAGAAGCATTACTACTGATTTACTTAAGACATCAGCTAGTCATTTAGCCATGCCACTTCATGATGCTTTGGGAAAACCTGTTTTATTATTTGCTGGCGAAGCTACACATGATCATTACTATTCAACTGTTCATGGTGCACTTAGTGCTGGATATCGTGAGGCAGACAGAATTGTCAGCTACTATACAAGGTATTTTTTTTTATGTCTATGATGTCATTTTATGTTTCATAAATGTGGTAAATTTTCGTGCACAGTCATCAAATATGCATGCATCATTCTCGTGACTTAATATTCTTTTTCTAACTGATGTGATACTTTTTTGACAGAAAATCGCATCTTTAAATATACTCGGAACAATGGAAGTGCTACATTTTATGGAACATAAACCTTATTCTTTTTTATACCTTAATTTTTCTTAATTTTATTAAATAAATTTCCAGCAAAATTAATCCAGAAATATTAATTAATTCATTAAATGTGCCAAAAGAGGATTATTACGATGTAATTGTGCTAGGTGCTGGAATCAGTGGATTGGGTGCTGGACATGTGCTGAAAAGTTCAAATCTTAATTTTATAATCCTAGAAGGATCATTCAAGGTTGGTGGACGAATTTATACCTTAAATATGAATAGTTTAAAGAATGGAAGTAAAGATGGACCGAAATGTGAAGCTGGTGCACAATGGCTGCATGGGAAAAATAATAAACTTTATCAATATGCTGAAAAACTTAATTTTATTCGTCCAGAATTGTCAGAAGAAGCAGAAGGCGATTATATTCGAGAAGATGGAACTAAATTTGAGGAATTTTTTGTCCGTAAAGTTGATTTTAAAATTGGACAGCTTCTGGAGGAATGTGAAGAACTTGTAAGTCACAAAAATGATCCAAATTATAAATTTCCATCGTCAATAGCTGAATATGTGGAGAAAAAGTTTGCAGACTTTGTTAAAACCTTAGAAACAAATGAAGAGAAAAGACAAGCTATGCAGCTTCTTGATTGGCATAGAAAGTTCCAAATAATTGACAATTCATGCTCAAGTTTTAATGACATTTCAGCCAAAGATTGGGGAAATTACTCGTTTAATGGAGAGAGCTGTCAAACTCATATTAATGTCACTGAAGGAATGGGAAAAATTGCAGATAAACTTTATGAGGAACTAAAATCAAACATAAAGTGCAATCAAATTGTTGATTTTATTTACTGGAAGTGCGAAGAATATCCAGGAAGATCGAATGTTATTAAAATAACTTGCAAAGATGGATCTACTTATTGCACAAATAATTTAATCTGTACCTTACCATTGGGGATTCTTAAGAAAAAGCATAGCAAAATGTTTAATCCACCACTTCCAATGAAGCACCAAGAAGTTATTGAAAATATTGGATTTGGGGCAATCAATAAGATTTTCATTCATTTCGATAACAAATGGTGGGATGATGATTGGAAGGGATTACAATTGTTATGGAATGAAGACTTAAATGATGTGAGTATTAAATACTCAATTTTTAATAGTTTTATAATTAATTTGAACCTTCAACAGAATTCACATTGGACAAAATTCATTTCTGGATTTGATGTCGTCTATCCAGCTCCCGAAAACACTTTAATTGGCTGGATTGGCGGGAAAGGAGCTATAGAAATGGAGAAATTAAGTGACAAAGAAATTGCAGATAATTGTATGAAAATCATTAAGAAATTTTTAAATCGAAAGGATATTCCAAATCCAACGCACTTCTACACATCTCGATGGCATACAGATGAATTTACTGGAGGGGCTTATAGCTTCACAAGTAAGTCTACAGATCATATTAAAGATTGGGAAAAGGTTCTTTCACAGCCAATTATTTTTGAGTCACCAAATAATGATAGAAATGTCATTTTAATGGCTGGTGAAGCTTGTCATGAACAATATTTCTCGACAGTTCATGGAGCATTTTTGTCTGGAATCGATCAAGCTAAGAATATTTTAAAACTTCGAACACAAAAAATGACATTTCTCTCTAAACTTTAATTCATTATAAAAGTAAATCAGCCAAATATTCATCAAATTCCTCGTCACGTCCACGAAGTTCAGGTTCATTTTTCTGTTTCCATAAATCATCTTCTGTTATTGGATCAATTTGTTCCTGTCTTAATGGTGATTCCTCCCTTTCTTGTGATATCCTTTGAGATGTTGTTGGACTTTGTGGATCAATTGAACTTCCTTTAATGCTAGGCTCCTTAATTCCTGATGATTTTGACTTGTGCTGCTTTTTAAGTCTCTTAATTTCTCGTTTCTTTGAATGATAATTGAGTTTCTCGGAGCATAAGTCACACAGTCCTAAAATAAATAATTTTGTCAGTTTCAATTTAAAACTTTATAAAAGACATAATTACTTATTTTAACTAGAGCATTCTTCCTCTCGCCTTTCTCGTTATAAGCAAAATTAACTTCCCATGTCCTTAAATTAGTGTTTTCAGAACAAGACTTTTCGCCACACATAAACTGTCCCTTTCCAACTATTACTTCCTATAAAGCATTTAATGTTATTAGATTTTATTGTATTTAATTATTGAATTAATAAATAGGTACCTTCTCAATTCTAAATCTATTACCAATTTTATTCTCTTTATATCTAGACAAGTCGCATATTGCATATTCACGGAATAGCTTATCGTAATATTTCTTGGCTAGTCTCTCTTCATAGGTTGATGGCAGATTCTCTTCATTCCATATAAATTTCATATTTTCCAAAATTATATCCTTATCACTTTTGTAGTTTTCAACTGGTTTCTTCTGTAAATGCTTCGTGTCACCGGGCTTAAGCAGCACATACTCGTTGATGAGATATTTATGATAGTCATAAGGATTCATATGAGGTTTATTCTGGATTCTTCCACTCATTTTAAATTATTTTAAATTAAATCTTGGAATTTTTGTGATTTTTTTTGTTGATAGTTTTGCTTCACTTTTGAAGCTGAAATTCAAGTTTTAAATGACAGTTAAATCAATTTAATAAGGCACTAATCTATAGTTGATTTGAACTAAAATTTCATTTATTTAATGTCATAATTAAGTAGTTTACATATTTCAGCACTTAATCGATATAATGGCAAGCCAACAACAGTAAAGTAATCGCCCTCTATCTTCTCTATTAAGCATCCACCAATGCCTTGAATGCCATATCCACCAGCCTGTTAAAATATCAATATATTACTTATAATTCAATTAATACAGAATAATAATTCACCTTATCTAGTGGCTCATTGGTATCCACATATGCTTGAATTTGTGCCTCAGTAAGCTTGCCGAAATAAACTTTGGTATGCTCAGTGAATTTAACGGTTTTATCTTGGAATTTTAATACACATCCGGTGTACACGACATGTCCTCTGGATTTAAGTTCATTCAACATTTGAAATGCAACATCATGTGTCTTTGGTTTACCGAATATCTTTCCATCAAGTGTGACTATCGTGTCAGCAGATATTATCAAGTCTGGCTTCTTTTCGTCATTTTTAAGCCGCTCATAAACTTCATCTGCCTTTCCAAAAGCTACAGCTTCTACAAACTCCTCATAATTTGGATGATTTTTTGGATCGACTGTGCTCTCATCAAATAATGATGGACATAATTCTACGTTTTTAAGTCCCTGAAATATCAAAGCATGAGTTTAAGCTACGAATATTTAAAAATGAAAATATCTTACTAAATTATGAATGTATTCTTGTCGGCGAGGACTTCCACTTGCAAGAACTATTCTCATTGAATTGAGCTGACTTCTCAAAGGAGCTAACATTATTTAATTATAGTTTAATTTATTGAAAATGTTGAGAACAAGTTTTTATTTTGAAATAATTTTTTGCTTCAATATTTTTTTTATTTCATATCTTTGAATTATTAAGAATCGTTTGTAGGGTTTTGAACTTAATCATAATGTTAAAAGGAAACTGATCAAGGTATAGGATGGTCTAGGAAGGTTTCGCTTTTATCTCTGCTGTATTAAGATTGAATCTTAAGTATTTAGAATTACTAGAGTGAAGATTTGAAATGTTTTAGGCCCTTATCTCCTATAGTACAACCTTCAGGTTTGAACATGTTGCAAACACAAGTCTTTCGTAGTAGTGTTAAAGGATAAAATTAAGACTAGTAGCTAAGACCGACCCATCACATCGATGTAAACTTCTTATATTTGCTAAGGTTTAATAGAAACAGAATCAGCATTCATGTGCAAAAAAATGTCAAAATCCTCTAACGGAATCTATTACTTTCTAGCTACGAAGCTACTATAAGTTATTACAAATTTGATTATCTTAAAACTTCTTTAGAGTTCTGATCTACAATTAAAGATTGTAATGAAATCTGAAAATTTCAGAACTTGCGTTCAAGTTCCATTGAATTCTAATTTTGATTAGGTTCAACTAGACAAACAAAAATTAGTATTTGGAGCAATTCAGACACGAAAAACGCCATAAGCATTTGAAAAGTATTGAATCGACGAAATTCATCAAGAAGATAATCAAAACAGAACGGATTAAATTCTCACGGTTACTGGGAAATCCCATAAGTTTTCGATTATTTATTCTTTTAATTATTAGTTTGAATACTTAATATAAGCAAACCGAGTGATAATCAATTTAATAGAGTTTCATCATCGTAAAACCCCAAAGATTATAAACTTCATATTGTTCTCTTTATACACCAAACAAGACAATGCTACACTCATTAAAATGACCAAAAACACTCAGAGAAAGAATAATGCTCAATTTTTAGAAATGTCATAATGCACCTATGTCACTAATATAGACAAAAATAGTTGCTTAATACCTGATTTCAAGGTCACATATACCGGACAGACACTTCTAAGAAGCAAGCTTGTTTTGGTGAGAGAGAGTAAACAAAAACAACAGAAACAAAATTAACATGTAAGCATTCTCAATAAAGTTGATACTCTCAGTTAGTTGTCTGCCGATGATCAGTGCGTTAAGACATAATCGTCATTTATTCGCTGTGATTTAGCATTTAAAGTTTGTTTTTCTTCATATTATCTAATAGAGCGTGATGATGATTCTTCATACAGTCATAATTCTTTTAATCTCTATATACTTTTCGAACGTTAATGGACAACGTCAAGGTAGTGATTTAGATCAAAGAATTCAGGATGTATTTTATAATTTAAATACTCGTGGATTTGACACAATTGTCGATCCTGAACCTGAGAATTTACCACCAACACAGGCACCACAAGTTCTTGAAGAATCAGGTGGTAGTTGTAAATGTGTGCCTTATTGGCGATGCAACAATAATAATCAATTAAGTCAACCGACTGAATCTAGATTTTATGGTGAAATTGATGTTCGTTATAATCCTGAATCCTGTCAGGACGTTCTTGATGTTTGCTGTAAATTTGAGAACGAAGTTAATGTCCAACAAACTCAGTCACCTCCACAAATAACCGGTGGACCAACTGAACAACAAACAACTCCTAAACAGTGCGGTGTTAGAAATGTAGGCGGCATTGACTTTACATTAGTCGGAAATACAAAGAGTGAAGCAGGTTTTGCTGAATTTCCATGGACAGTTGCATTGCTATCATCACACAAAGAATGCCTTTGTGGTGGAACATTGATTCATCCACAGATTATATTGACCGGTGCACATTGTGTGTTTAACATAAGTCAAAATGATTTAATAATCAGAGCTGGAGAATGGGATACACAAACAACGAAGGAGAGATTGCCACATCAAGAACGAAGAGTTAACACAATACTTACACATAATGAATTTAATCCAAAGTCATTGGCCAATGATATAGTAAGTATAGTGCAATTAAAACAGGTTCTGAGAAGACTTTAGGTTGTTTAGAATAAAATTAACAATGGAAATTTACAGAGCGACAATGAACTTTTGTTATTTGTTTGTAGGCTTTATTATTCTTGGATCAACCATTTATCATGGATCAACATATAAACACAGTTTGTCTGCCGCCTCAAGGATATGTTGCAAATAACCGTGACTGCTTTGTAAGTAGATTAAATCTTTCATTTATTAATCGAACAAAAGATTTTAAATGACTTGATTGTCTATCCATTATTTAGGCTACTGGATGGGGCAAAGATGTATTTGGTAAAGAAGGAAAATACTCTGTCATTATGAAAAAGATTGAATTACCAATGGTACAGTTTAATGAATGTCAAGAGAGACTGAAAAATACGAGATTAGGAAAACGATTTTTGTTGCATCCTAGCTTTGTCTGTGCTGGTAAGTTTGAATTCAATTCTTTAATCATATTGATAGTCCTTTGACTTTTAAGCACTAATCTGCTTCGATGATCTCCAAAAATCTTTCTAATTTTATTCAAAATTTAAATTAATTCTTTAACAGGAGGAGAAACAAATGTTGATGTTTGTCAAGGAGATGGCGGTGGTCCATTAGTTTGTCCAACTGGAAATAATCGATATATACAAGTGGGTGCTGTTGCATGGGGTATTGCTTGTAATCTTAATATTCCTGGAGTTTATATGAATGTTGCATATTTCCGAGATTGGATAGACTATAATGTTAGAAATCATGGATATGACTCAAGCAGTTATACTGTATAATTTAGCCATGGAAATTATTCATTGAATTTAATAAATGATTCCATTAACTCTTAATCGTCATAATTTGTATTGATGTTTTTAATGCTTTTAAAAGATCTTGGAAGTAGAGTAGATAAATTAGTTAAATTCTTTGTAAATTTGGTCACATAACAGATTTTACACTTATTTATTAAAATGTTTTTATTATAGATCATCAGTCACTAAAATGCATTCAGATTTATATTGCACATAATCTTACAAGTACTAGTTAATACTTTTATAATACTAAAAATTGCAAAAACAATCATAACATCTAAAATAACAACTGAGTATTTAATGTATTAAGTTTAAACTAATGAGTACTTCCTAGATGATCTGTTAAACTTCAAGATTTCGTACATTAAGTCATTAAATTTGTCGTGTTAATTCTCTGCTGTAAGTTGAGACTTAAGTCTTTAACCTTGGCAATGACTGCAACACTTACTAAAGCTAAGAAATTATATAAACCATGCTTCGCAACTGATTACAAAGATTAGGTCATTGACATTTTATAACTTGATCTGACTAGGCTGACTATCGAATTGATCTTTAACACAAGAGTGAGATTAGCTGCAAATCAAGTTCTAATTTTATTTTATAAAGAATCAATATGAGACAATTTGAATTCAAGGAAAATGTTGCTTTGACAAGGTTTTATTGTCCAAATTGGAGATGGACATCCTATCATCTATGACACACAGATCATCATTGAAAATAGAATCAAAAAACAAAAGTGAGTAACCAAATTCGGCTCAAAAACACGACGATGACAATCGGAGTCGTTAACAAATCGTTGACAGCTTTATCGCGTCAAAGCTTTTATTTCCATTATGAACCTGACCTACCTTCATACATGTGTTTTCATTTTTAACTTTAAAATGTGACAAGTGAAAGTTGTATCATAAGAATATCTATTTTGAGAACTAGAAAGAGACTTGGTGTGATAGACAACAATGAAAACAAAACAATAAAGTTGTAAATCGAAAGCTTTAATATTCTTAATCACATTCCTAGTTGGTGTCGATACGATTAAAATCAATAAGATTCCTGAAATCTATTGTTCTAATTTACCGATCGTTATCAACATCTAGTGATTGAGTCAGGCTTTGATTCATCGGAAAAATATTGAAAACACGCCACATTTATCAAAAGTCCACAAATACAGGCATGCAGAAATATTTGTAATCAATACTACGCAGCAGTTGTGATAAGTGATAATTTATTAATTTCTGTGGCACATTAAAAGTCAGCGATTATAAGAATAATTAAATTTTCCATGACATGTTCGTAATACAAAACAAATTCCTTCCAGGTGTGGAAGACTTTAAATATTATTTTTGTTTCTGATTTCTTCATGATTCACGCCGTGTTCCTTATCTAAAAATTGTCTGTTGATAAATTATAAAAAAAAAGCTGTGAGTAATAATATTAGATAAAGATTATTTTGAAGTTTTGAGGGCGAATTTCTCAGATTTTGGAATGGGAAGTCAGTTTGAATGCTTAGGTATTGATTTTTAATGGATCTTAACGTTTAAAGAACAAAATCTAGAAGAATAGTAAATATTTAATAATATTATATGAAGGATCTAGTATATTGACTTGCGAAGGAATTGACTTTAAACACAAATTAAGAAGCTAGTTCTAATGTAGTGCTAACCAAAACATCAAATCCTGTAATTTCGTGAGCATTGTGCGAACCCTTGTCATATAGACAACATTCTATAGTATTCATAATGATCAACAGATTTGCCTTAAGTGGGAATCGAACCCACGTCTTCAAAAACGTGAGTTTTTGATATCTAGTCTTTTGCCTATTCACTCGATCCACAAAGGCCTAGCTCTAACACTGGTAGATTTGCCTTTATATAGCTCGATACCCCAGATTCCACTCTGACTCGACCCTACAAATCCCTTAAGTGCTGGACTTTCTAGATAAATATAACATCAGTTTGAATCCATTTAGAACATCTGATTCCAACAAAACTATAATAAATCATAATCAAACCACTTTATAAACTATGAATCACAATGATTCCAAGCACGAAAAATGCGATAGTTTTCATTTTTAGGGTTCGATACTTTATCTCGCTGCTAGTGATAAGATATCGGATTTTTTTTATTGATATGATAAGGAAAAAATGAGTGTTTCTACACATAAATATTAAATTAACAAATTTTTACACCTCCATTTCAGTTTTACCGCTGAACTCGTTGGATAAGTATGAAAAGTTTGTAATAAATTATTGCATAATGTCAGAAAAAGTCGGTAAAGTTTTGCGTCGAAAAAGTTCGATGACTAATTCGATACAAGATATCGAGCTGGAAGTGCTCAAACAGAATATTTCCAATAAGCATAAACAGATGGTTACTGAAATTGATGAAAAATTGGACAAAATTTTCGATGATTTCCTAAATGAAGTCAATAAGTTGAGCTTGAATCGATTCGAAGTTGAGAAATTATTCGAGGACGATAAAAATGGAAAACCACGAAACAGAAAAAATGCAGAAAAGTCTAGAAATGATGACAGAAAGAAGTCAAAAAAAGTTGATACCAAAAAATTACCATCGAAATTACCAGAAAAACATTTTCAGCCACGAAATTCAATGCTCACAGACTTGTTCGAAATTAAACACATCAATACGATCTATCATATCTTTATCGTTATCTTTAACCTTCTACTTCTAAATGTTTTCGTATCAGACTTTGCTGATACAGGAAAAATTAATATTGGATTACGACCGATTAGATCAGGATTTAAAGGACTTCATTATTCCCTCTTCATTTGGTGTCTCATGCAATTGACAATCTTTTTATTATATCCAGCATTTAAACTATGGGCATACGTCACAACAAAATACTTTTTCAAACGCGGAACGATGACAAATTTATGGCATTTTATCGGAGTCTTATCAGTAATTGGATTCCAGAGTACATTCATTGCTGGATTTACTTACACTATTATACAATTTGATTTGGGACAAGCATCGGCAGTTGCTGTATTAATGGAACTTGTGAGATTCATTATGAAGTCTTATGCCTTCATTCGTACCAATGTTCCACGAGTGATTTATCAAAAAAAGAAGGCTAAGTCATCGGACGAAAGTGAATTGGATTATGAAGAGGATAAAAATAGTGACGACACAGAAGTAAAGGAAGAAGTCAAACTGCCCGAGTCAGGAAGCCCTAAAGTTAATAATAAACGCGTATTGACAACATTTAAGCAATATACTTACTTCCTATTTGCACCGACTCTTGTGTATCGCGATGAATATCCACGTTCTAAACACATTCGATGGAACTTTGTACTTAAATGCCTTATTGAAGTAATATCCATTATTTTTATTATGAGCTTCATATCCGAGAGAATCATGTATCCCGTCTATAATCAATTTGGATCACAATTTTACGAGGTTGGTGTGAAGGAACTTATAGCATCAGTTTTCAATGCCATGCTTCCTGGTCTTCTTTGCTTCTTATGTGGATTTTATTGTGTTTTACATTCATGGATGAACGCATTTGCCGAATTCTTGAGATTCTCCGATCGAATGTTTTACCGAGACTGGTGGAATTCAACAAACTTTTCAGTCTATTATCGTACATGGAACGTAATTGTACATGACTGGCTTTATTTGTACGTCTACAAAGATTTATATCTTTATGTGTTCAAAAAGAACCGAACTGTGTGTCAATTTTTAGTGTTCCTCTTATCAGCAGTCTTCCATGAATATATTTTAGGATTCACCTTCAGATTTTGCTATCCAATTTTATTTATCGAGTTTCAAGGAGCTGGCGTGCTTCTATTTTTCGCATTACGTAAAGATTTAAAGACAATTGGAAATTGTATGATGTGGATGTCATTAGCAATCGGAATGGGATTATTATTGAGTCTTTATCACATGGAGTTTTATGCAAGAGAAAATTGTACTTTTGATAGAGAGAATTGGCTCAATTATTTCATACCGATAAGTTGGAGCTGTAATGGATTACGATACAGTGATAATTGGGAAGTCAAGATACATTTTTAAGTTTGGACATTAGCTTTAAGTTTTTAACTGTAAATTTATTTTTTAAGTTTTGTGGGAATGAGATTGCTGAATGCTAGTGACAAGGATGTGGTGGTTGATGTTTTGTATTGTGGCACGTTAGTGTGTCTCGTATAGGATACTCATAGTTGAGTTTCTCGGTATACATCTATATCTATCCTTTCTCCACCCAAAGTAAGGTATAGGCTAAGCTTTAGATGTAGGTTTATACAAAAAAAAGTTAATTACAACTGCATTAAGGCAATCTTGTTTCGTTGGGACTTATAAATTCATATCTGCGACAATTCCCTAAGTTAATAATACCCAAGGCATGGAAACTCAGGATTAATCCTGAAAAATCCTAAAAAATCCCTATGCCAATAAACATGGAAATGTGAAATCCCTTTTAAATCCCTGATGCGTTTGATGAAAAACTTCGGAATTTAAAAGGGATTTCACATTTTCATGATTATTGGCTCAGGGATTTTTTTAGGGTTTTTGGGATTATTTAGGATTAATCCTGAGTTCCCACGCCTTAATAATACCAAATAACTTCAAAAATTCATAATTCTAATTCATAAACACGATTTATAGCTATATAAAGTAAAGAAGACCTATAAGTGTATTTTGTAAGTCATTTTAATTATATAAAATGACAATAAACTTTTATAATGTGTGAACTGACTTGTTGCAAGAGCAAGAGCATTTACCAGCCATAAAATAAACATTGTGATAATTTTAAAAGTATTCAAAATACCAAAATTATTTTTTTTTTGCATTTACAGACTTCTCTTTTAAACACTTTGACTGTATTATTCGATTAATTTATTCTCATATTTATCAAGAGTCGAGAATTCTCTCTCATCCTTTATATTCCTATTACATTGGCACTCATTAGTTGATTATTCGCTAACAATATCGGATCGACTTTCAGACTTTCAGGAAAATTTTAATTTGATTTAATAATGTTCATTCGACAATTATTTATAGTATTTTGCATCTTGATGATGTTCTACGTTAACAGCAATATGGGTGCAGCAACTGGAAGTTCTAATGATGACAACACTGAACATAAGGTAGTTCATTAATTTTAAATTACTTTTTTTAACAGAGTTGATTGGCCTTATCTTGAATACAATATTGTTGATTATTAATCAAATTTCAATAAATGATCATTTATACTTAATTCTAGCAATGCAATAGTGGAGTTGGAAAGTGCGTTCCATTCCTACTTTGCAAAGAGACATTTGAAGAAGGGAAAAATTCTGGTGATTCTAAAACAAGCATAGACAATGAATGTACAGATACTTATGAATTGTGCTGTCGTACAGAAAATATTAAGGATTCTATTGACTGAAATTTTTCAAATCATCAAGTAATAGATTTCATAAGACAATAATTGAAATTATTTGTTATTCCTTAAACTATTTGAGTAGTTTAATCTTTTAATTCTATAAAATCGGTAAATAAACTTGAAATTGTAACAAGTTGTTTGTACTTTAAATTAGTAGTTCTTAATTTTCAGAGACATTAGTTCAAAAGTCTATTCTTCGATGGACTTAAGTTTTGAACGAACACTTTCTTAGTTTTGAATTGAACTCTTTTTATATTAAAAAATAATAAAGTCGATTAAATGGGTTTCTCCGTGATTTTTTACAATCAGGCTCCTTCTTATTTAATGCTTCTTTTATTTAATAAAAAACTTTATTACTAGGAATAAAATTTTATTAAATTTCCCCACATTATTGTACACAATTGTACATATTATGTTTCGACAGATTATCAGGATGTTTTTGAACAAGGGGAAACCCTGAGTTTATATGCTTAATTTAGTAATCTGTCATTATCTTGACCTTTTGCCTTATTTATTTTCAATATGGTCAATGCATGGCTTATTTTAAATAGAATTAAAAGCGATTTTAAGTTCTTATATATCATAATTGTGGATCAATCTTTACTAAAGCTTACCTACTTAGGTTTGGATTCAAAATGGAAAAACCGATGCATTGACAAATGTAAGCAATAACTTCTAACCTATTTATTTATGACATGCATTTTCTAATGATCTTGGCAGACGTCTTGTTCTAGTAAAGGATTATTTACTGACTTCACTGATTGCAATTTATAGATGATTTGAATCCCTTCAAAGGTTTTCCTAAATTACAAAAATCAGTAATATTATCAGCAGATCACTACATAGAAGACTACTTGCTACTAATGCAAAGCAGAGACAGGATAAACAGTTACTTGTATTCTAATATGAATATGCATAAAAATTAAAGACTTCTTTTTATGTAAAATCAGGTTTTTCATAAAAACTGAGCATTAAACTTGATGACTCTCATTATTCATGGATTGTGTCTGAATCAAAAATTAGCAGTTCTTTTCTTATTATCATGCATTTCACTTGTATTCATTGGCACTTCCATTTGTATTGAAAAAAAAAATCCAGTCTCTCTCTTGTTCTCATTCACACCAAGTCTCTCATTCGTACAATAATCATCTCTTATTTTATGACTTAAGGTATAGGATTTCCCGAGAAACTTTCAGGGAGTATACAAATACTAAACAGTTATTAGTTGCTTAATCGTAAGCTGACTGTGTACCGCATCGCATCAATATCTCATCGGAGTCTTTATTTATTTTTTCTTATTCTTAATTTATTTGTTAGTGATATAAAAGTAAGTGTGTGTTCGTGAGGTATTGTGGTTGTAATTAAATACATTTTAGGAGATTAATTTCAACAGAATGAATACAAAAATGTTCTTTGTGGTATTTGTAAGCATCATTGTCACAGTCAGTGCACAAACTTTAGAAGAAGGTGCAGAACAAGCCTTAGAAGATAATACAGTAAGAACATTAGATCAAGCACCAGTTAAAACGTGCACTAATGTAAATGGAACTGGAGAATGTGTGCCATACTACCTTTGCAATAATGGGAAATTCAACACCGATGGAGAAAATGTCATAGATATCCGTTTTAATGAAGATAAAGAGTGTATTGAATATTTTGAGGAATGCTGTGGAGCAGAACATCTCCTTGTAAGAATCTTTTTGACTTTTTTTTGGTCATAGATTTTTTAAAACTATAGTAATATCTTACAGACAGATGAAAACAAGATAGTGCCAGTAAGGAACGAAACTTACATTACAGAATGTGGAATAAGGAACAGTGCCGGTGTTGGTGTTAGGATCACAGGCAATAGTGATGGGGAAAGTGAATACGGAGGTATGAATGTTGTAATCAAGACTTAGCACTTTAAATGGTCAAAAACTATATTATCTATTCTGCAGAGTTCCCATGGATGGTTGCTGTAACCAGAAGAGAACCTTCGAATGATAGTTTTATCAATGTTTATATGTGTGGAGGAAGTTTAATTGCCGAAAACGTTGTCATGACAGGTAAATCAATGCTTTAAATTTTCAATTAATTATTTTCTAATTTTCTTCTATCCCTGACATTTAATTCTCTAGCTGCCCATTGCGTCAACGGAAAGGATGTCGATGTAATGAGAATACGAGTCGGAGAATGGGATACCCAAACAACATTTGAACTTTTCCAGCATTCTGATCATGAAGTTGAGAAGTTCGTCATTCATGAAAAATTCAACAAAGGTGGTCTTCATAATGACATTGCTCTTTTGTTCCTTAAGACTAAAGTTGAAATGTCAGAAGTTGCTAACACAATTTGTTTACCATCACAAGATCAGCCATTTGATGGCAAAAGATGCTTTGCAACTGGTTGGGGAAAGGATCAGTTTGGAAAAGAAGGAGAATATCAAGTCATTCTTAAGAAAGTTGAGTTGCCAACGGTTCCACGAGACCAATGTCAAGCAAACTTAAGAAAGACGCGCTTAGGTCGACGATTTATTTTGCATGACAGCTTTATGTGTGCTGGAGGAGAAGAAGGAAAAGATACATGTAAAGGAGATGGTGGAAGCCCTTTAGTTTGTCCAGTTGAAGGATTTCCGGATAAATACTATCAAGCTGGAATTGTTGCATGGGGTGAGGCATTGAGTTTAAACTAAAATAATCACTTAATTACATTATATTTACATATTTCAGGTGTTGGATGTGGTCAAAAAGATGTTCCTGGTGTTTATGCTAATGTTGCACACTTCCGGAACTGGATTGATACTCAAATCGCTTCATATAGTCAACCATAAGTGATTATTGTATTAAATATTACTTTTAAAATGTAATTCAAAAGTTGATTGACTCAATTAAGATCTAACTTACAATAAAACTCATATTAATAAAATTTCTTCCTCACAATGTATTGAATATTCAAATCGTAAACAGAATCTTTCGGTCGCATGTGCTTGATAAGGTTTCAAATCTTTAATGACTCAATGAAGTGTTCTTTAACCTTTCTTGTGTATTTATAAAAAAAATGATTTTTAAAAAATCTCTTTCTTTAACATTTACTCTCTGCATGACTCTCCTCGTCTGCTGAACATATTTTTAAGAGAACTGCATTGTTTTCAATTTATATAGAGCCATTTGTAGTGAAAGAGAAGAAAAAGAGAGGAAGAAAGTTTGTATTTGCTAAAATTACACTCAAAGAAAAAAATGTTTGAAAACTTTTTAAATTTGTAGGAAATCTCAATTTTTAAGTTGGTTCAAAATTCTGTTTTGCTTATCGTCTTTCCCATGTTTTGAATCGCTACTGCATCTGACGAATTTTTGTTTGTAAATAACCAGAAAAACCCATTAAATTTTGTTGTAATTTGTTTTATGAAAACGTTGAATAATTGAAGATCATCCTTAGTGTATTTTCCCAATGACTATTTACTTTTCATTTAAATTTCCAGTCTAAAAAAAGGGGATTGTACTGGTTTTTGTTCATTCAAAATTTGTCTATCTTACTTAATATTCCAATTTAAAAGTATCAAGCAACAATAAAATCATATTTGACATGATATTGAAAATTTTCATTATGGTGCTTTGCCTTACTTACTATCTATGTACTTATGATTTTCGAGAGCCTGCGGAACGAGCTGATCCATTTGCTGCATCTTTATGTGATAATAGTATGATGTTTGCTGTAAACCGGAAAGAGTTGAGGTATTAAATTGGTATTAAATGAAATTTCCTAGTGTTGCAGACATCAAGAAGAACTAATAATCGACCATACTAAATAGCATAAATTTTGAATGAAACAAATTGTCAAAGATTTAGAAAGAAGAATGAACAAGGTATTCATTTGTCAAAGAAAGAAGCAACAGAAGTTCTTAATAAGTTGAAATAAAATTTTATTAATTTAACTTTAAATTCTTTAATTTTATACGCAATAATCTTCAATAATCTTTCACACAAAGGTTATTATAGATTATAATTCATTGCTTCTTTCTTTGCATGAAGATTATAATCTTTGATAATCTTTCAATATTAACGAAGATTATAAATTTCGTTTTTAAAAGATTATAATCTGCGGGAACCTTGTTAAAAACCCAAGATTTTGACCTCGTTGCACTTTTGAAAACATTTATTAATTCGTTTTAGATCGTCCTGATTTGGTTTTCCCTCAAATTTTTATCGATTTTTCAAAATAGAACTAATTTAATAAATTCAATTTCAGAAAATGAATTTGACAATTATTCTACCAGAAAACATCACATCTGAATAAAAGAACACGATACACAAAATTAATCATAAACAACAGAAAGATAATACGGTAAACATTCCATAAAACTCACATGGAGCAGTCAACAACACATTAACTTGTTGTTTACTGCAATAATTCTTAATAAATTGACATAAATTATGTTTAAATTGAAAAACTAGTTTTACTGATAAGTTCTTAAATTCTTCGATTTCATCGTGCCGTAATGCCCCACTATATAGTAACGTTATCACATACATAATAATACGATAATTGGACGAAAGTTCTCAAAATTGTTTAAACGAAAATGAATTTATGTTTTAGTATGCGCTTGACTGAGTGACTGACTGATTGTTGCACATTTTATTTAATTTTTTTTTTGGAATCAACAAAATTATGTCATTAAAAGTTTGTTTTGTGCTTTTTACCATCATACTTTATGCAAATGCAAAGTCTAAATTGCAATCGTGTGACGGTGGACGAGGTGTTTGCGTTAGTTTTAATCTTTGTAAAGCAGACTCTAGTCACGAGAAAGAGACAAACTCAGAAATGTTAGATTTTGAGGCAGAATCAGAATGTAAAGAGTTCTTCGAAATTTGCTGTAAGCCTGACAAAGTTATGGTAAGTGTTGTCTGAACTGTTAGGGATCTCCTTGAAATACTATTTTTAAATTTTTTGAAAAGAGTTGTCAAAAGTAACATTCAATTTATTTTCCAGCCATCCAAAAGTGCGATTAAAAAATCTTAATTGGTAATTTTGATGAAAATAAACAGCAATGCACAAGAACAAGTTCAATAAACTTTGATATTGTATATTCCAATCGAATCAATAAATGAACGATAAGAACGACCAAAATTTAGTTTTATTAATCATCTTTTTAAAAAATTGATTCCGTTTTGTTCCATTTTACACATTTAGAAAATGACAAATCTGATAGGAATAAGTTGGGGGGTAAAATCCCCGAAAGATATTAATTCCACGATCCTGCGTGATAATAACCCCGAAAATCACAAATTTTTAAATGTTCCCTGCGAGATAATATTCCCACTTAGAAATACACGTGGAATTATTATCCTTCCCGAAAGATAATAATCCCACCTATAATAACAAGTGGGATTATTATCTTTATGGAACACGATTAAAATTATGGATTAAATCTAATCCAAAAACTTATTTGTCATAGTGGATAATAATTCCACTTGTATTAATAAGTGGATTTATTATCTAATAGGATTTTCATCCAAAAAAAATCCCACTTATTAATTTGTCAATTTCATTATTCAATACAAAAACTTAAATATGAAGAAAACATAAATATTGGTTGAATGTTTGCTTTTTAAAAATATATTATTCCAAATTGTTTAAAAAATAAAATCAAGGTGGGTTCAAGTGAGTTCAACTGATCAAAAGATGTTGGCTATTCCATATAAAATTATGTTAGAGATTCGCTCGAATGTTTAAAGAAAATGTAGCTGTAATTCCATTTTGTTTCGCTTCATTCATTCAACTGTTTAAAAATCACAGTATTGTTCAAATGTTTAGGAGTAGATATGCTAACCTCTAATGGGCAAAATAATAAATTTTCGATTCTTTCCTGAAATTTTCCAAAAGTCTTTCAAATAGGGTAAATGACTTTGAAATTTGCGCAACCTTGAAATTTGCGCACTCGTATGAAAACGAAAATTTAAAAATTATATCTCAAAATTGCACTTCTGTTCAGACGATCAATGGGAAATGTCTGCAGAACACAAGCACAGATTTTTTTTCATAATTTTTAGTGGTCTTAAGGCACTAGAAAGCTTAATAATTTATTACCAAAAACTCCCATACAAAACTTAAAATTTTTTACATTTTGATTTTAAGATGCATGCATTGGTATAGATTAAATTTTGGTATCGGAAAATGTAGATCTGACATTGCTTAAAATTTTTCAAATGGTTCCAATTCAAAATGATACCTGGAACTGCTTTAAAATTCATTTTTAAAATGGCTTGTTTTTGAACCTTGAAATTTGCGCAAATTTTATGAAAAATTTTAAAATTTGCGCAGTGAAATATCACCGGCCAAAAAAGGCAATAAAATGAGCATAGCTTTAAGACTTTATACTACTTTATGTGCTTAAATCAGAGTATTTTTAGATTGAATAAAAAATTTAAAATTGAATTACTATGGATACATCATTTTGCTTGTCCCTTTTTAAATTTATTATGTGCTTTTGAACTATTTTGAAACCATTTATCTAGTGTTTTTTTTCCACGCTGGATTTACTCCTAATACATCTAAGATCGTCATGTTGAACATTGAAGCTTTCACGGATTTTCACCAAACTAAATCTAATCATATAATCTCTAATATATAAAAGCCCAACTCACTGATTCACTGACTCTGGAACGGAAGCTATGTGATGACGTTTGTGAAGCCGTGTGAAGATAAAAATTTAAGGATTGTTGACAAGGTGGTTATCAGGTGGGTGTGGGTGTCAGGTGTTGGGTGAGTGTCAGGTGGGGGATGGTGGCAAGGGGGACTCAGGTATATTTTGTGAAGCCGTGTGAAGCCAATGATTTGAGGAGTACTGACAAGGTGGGTGTCAGTTTGGGGGGGGTGTTGACAAGGTGGGGGGGGGGGGGGGCAATGTGGGTGTCAGGTGGGTCCGAATTTGAGGGGGTTTGTGACGCCGTGTAGTGCTGAAAAGTTTAGTGTCAGGAATATTTTGTGAAGCCATATAAAATTTTGTGAAGCCATTTATAAAATTTTTGTGGAATTAAGGGGGTCCGAGTTTGAAGGGGTTGTGAAGCCATGTGAAATTTTGTGAAGCCATTTATAAAGTTTTTGTGGGATTAAGGAAGTCCGAGTTCGAGGGGGGTTGTGAGGCCATGTGAAGTTTTGTGGTAGGATTGACCTTAAAAACATTATGGTTATTTGCGTCTTACAGTTATTTACATAATTGTAATCAAATTTTAACCCTGATAAGAGGCGCCACGGGCGCCTCCGGATAGCCTAGTTTGGTAATAAACATCATCATTTCCCTTATATTTTGATTAATGTATATTAAAATTGGATATGTTTTCAACAATATTATTTCCAAGATTCAATGATTGCTGTCAAAAAAGTGCGCAAATTTCAAGGTTTTTTTGCGCAAATTTCAAAGTTTTCTGCGCAAATTTCAAAGTTCAAACTTGAAAGTCAAATTTCTTGGCATTGACACAGCAGAGCTTTCTATATCCATAGAAAAACAAAAATATCAATGATTCCCTGCATTTCAAGATCGTTAGTAGGGCTCAATTTCAATCCTCCGAAGAGCTTGAAGCAAATGAAAATTTCATGTGTGACTTTGCGCAAATTTCAAGGTCATTTACCCTAATTGTAAATTGCCCTTAACAAAATTAGATTTATAAATATAATAATAATATTTTTTTACACATTTTGCTAAGAAAAATGTAAAGATTTAAACATAAAAAGAACGCAAAATTAAAATTCTGTTGATCAAATTCTTATTAAATTAACTAGAATTTTAAAATGATGGCAGTTCTGATGCTGTTTAACCGTGTATACAAGCCCGAAGAAGGTTTCTAATGGTTTTAGACCATTTAAGAGATTTGATTGTTTATAATCTCAAAATTTCGAAATTATTCTGATTATTCAGGTATACAGGGTTACTTAATTAAACTGATGGCCACAAATTTATAGAAAATGTTCAGCAAATAATTAAAGTGATTCGTACAAAATTCAAACGAAACATTTTGTAAGTTCTTTCAAACTTGAGCTCTTTTAAAGAAAAGCTTAAAATAAAACCTGTCAGAACTAGTGTATCGGGCAGAAACCCAATGCGGATTATATTAACAAATAATAATAATAATAATAATAATATTCACACCGTACCATCAAAAGTCTAATGGATAGACCAAGATTTTCCCAGCATAAGTACGAAGGTATGAAGCTTGATAAGTCAACTGAGCTTCGCTCAGCATAAGTTTGAAGATATAAAGCTAGCGAGTGAGCTGAGCTTCGCTCAGCATAAGTTTGAAGGTTTAAAGCTTAACGAACATTCTTTAAAAGTTTTTAAAAAAAAATTTTCATCCAAACTTGAATTTTATAAAAATCACAGTCAACTTTTGTTTTAAAAAATTCGTAAGAAAGGAAAGTTTTTGGCTTTTTCTGAAGCAACGGCTGTTCCTACCTTGCCTAAAAACAATACAGCTCTTCTATAGAGCAGCACGGATCAAATGTAAAAAACTAGAAGTCTCTACGATGTCTCGTTATTGAGATTTCTTGCTGATTAACTTGCTTGCTTGCTTGTTTGCTTATTTGCTTACAGAGAACGTATTTTGCGATTTTCTCAGCAATGCCACAACCAATTTGAAATCTGTTTTTTGAAAATGATGTAAAATTTCAGGCACAAACTTTTCTTCTTCACCTTTTATAACAAATTTTGCTTCGTTTTCTCAAAAAATGCGAAAAACTGATTTTTCAATCTGAACAAAACCAATAGATTCACACGTGAATACGGTGTGAATATAAAAAAAATTTATATCCTAAAATAGATTTTATATTCACACCGTATTCACTTTATTTTTGTTCAGCTTGAAAAACAGTTTTTCGCATTTTGAGGAAAAAAAGCAAATGGGCAAAAACTTTATTTAAATTGGTTGTAGCATTGATGGGAAAATCGTATGATACGTAAGCAAACAAGCATCAAGGCAAGTAAATCAGCAAAAATCTCAATAACGAGGCATCTTAGAGACTTCTAATTATTGCATTTTGATTCTTGCTGCGTTAAAAATGATAAGGCTTTATTTTTTTATTGGATAAGGTAGAAACAACCATTGCTTCCAAAAAAGCAAAAAACACTGTATCCTCTATCCTGCATCACGTGAACTCAAATTTTGCCATTGACAAAAATGATAAAAACAAAAAATTGAAAATTTTGTGTGAATATGATTTCTTGAGTGAATAGATCTTTGATACATTAAACATCTAGGCTTTAGGCTTTTAAAAAATTTACAAAAGGCATAAAAACCAAGTTTTCAACTTAACCATTCAACCAATATTTATGTTTTCTTCATATTTAAGTTTTTGGAATAATGAAATTGACAAATTAATAAGCGGGATTTTTTTTGGATGAAAATCCTATTAGATAATAAATTCACTTATTAATACAAGTGGAATTATTATCCACTATGACAAATAAGTTTTTGGATTAGATTTAATCCATAATTTTAATCGTGTTCCATAAAGATAATAATCCCACTTAGTAATGTAAGTGAAATTATTATCTACCTGGGAGATAATAATCCCACTTGTAATTATAGGTGGGATTATTATCTTTCGGGAAGGATAATAATTCCACGTGTATTTCTAAGTGGGAATATTATCTCGCAGGGAACATTTAAAAATTTGCGATTTTCGGGGTTATTATCCCGCAGGATCGTGGAATTAATATCTTTCGGGGATTTTACCCCCCATCTAGGAATAACCCTAAAGCTTACTGTCGTCATATTGAGAAAAACAATTGGAGCTTTTTAAAACAGGATTTTCCAGAGGATTTTTTTCTTCTATAAGTGCTTAAATTTCATAAAAAACTGCATGTTTTCACTCACAAACTTCACCAAAATTTTTTAACGAACTTCACTGCTTGAAATCTTGAATTGACGGAATTGGAATTTATAACGGTTAAATAATATTCAAATTCAACTCATAAAATTTGTTCAAAAGTACACATTTTCATCGAATTTCACGAATTATTTAATTAAAGTACAATGGAGTGCCCAGTTTGTATGAATTACTATGATGATGATGTTTACAGCACCTATTGTGGCCATCTATTTTGCAAGGTAAGCATAAGAAGCTTGAATTTGACTACTTTTAATGAATTTCGTTTCTTAAATCCAGCAATGCGCAAATCAAATGATTCAAAAGGCATCTGGAGATTGTTGGACATGCCATAGTCCAATACAAGCCAATTCTGTCCATAAAATCTATCTTCCAGCACGAGTTGCAACACAACAATCTGTTGATTTAACTCAAGATAGTCAAGAATTGACAAAAGAGGAAATTATGAAAACGATGTTGACTGATCTGGAAATTGAGTGTGAAAAGAACGTCCAGAAGTGTACTAAATTAAAGGAAGCTGTTGACGTTTACGCTATGAATTATGCGAACTTTGTGTCTTTGAACGATGAATTAAAACGGAAAAATGAGATTTTGGAAACCAAATTATTGATTATCCGAGATAAACTTGATCGATGCGAGCAAATTGTTGATAACTTTGATAGACATGGACATAATACTCGCTCTAAAAGGAGAACAGCTAGATCAGATCGAGTTTAACTTTGGCATTATTCGCACTTATTGCACATTTTATTACAAAAATCATCGAATATTATGCATTGTTTAATATTATTAGAAGAAATAAAGCAGTAATTCTCTAGATCTTATGATTAGTTTATGCTTAATTACAGTTCAACTTTTAATGGAAATTATAACGATCAAATATTTTTTAAATTGCATGACTAAAATGATTGTGTCAAGTGAAAATTCGACTTGTTCAAATACACTGGTTATTTTTAAGCTTGTAATAAAGTGTAGATGATTAGGTCATCTACATTAAAATTAAGACATCTAGCAAGACTATTAAAACAGGGAATTTTAAAATCAGGCAAAAATCAACGTAAATATTGGACCTTCCAATTTTCATCAGTAACAGCTCGCATATTTTTTTTGTGAAATTTTATTTTATTAAAAAAGAAGTAATGGACTGTGTTGTTTGCATGAGTTTTGTCGAGAATGACATTTACAGCACATTCTGTGGTCATTTGTTCTGTAAAGTAAGTATAACATACTTAATTTCAGTTTTTTTTCTTGTTTTTCTTTCAAAAATATTTTTTGATGAATTTTTATGCTTTAATTGCTTGTGGTTTGCTGTAATTAATTATTAATTTGTTTGTATGATGCGTATGATAGTTCTAAAGTTTTTAAGATCATCTGAGCGTTAATTAAAGAAAGTATTAGTCTTTATGATTGACATTGGATTTCCTTATTTTTTTCTCAGACATGAATTTAAATTTTAAAATATCGTTATAAAATTTACTTTAATTAATTTTCTTCAAGCAATGTGTTGATAAAATGATTCTGAATTCTACAAAATGCTGGACATGCCAAACTGCATTAAATAAGGCACAAGTACACAAGGTTTTTTTGCCATCATCAGGAACATTATCTCGTCATGCTGAATTATCTTTAATTAATGCACGTATGAACAAACTTTTGAAAAACGACGAAGAAATACTCAAACGAGTCAAGGCTTTAGAGGAAGCTAAGAAGCCCGAGAAAGGAAATGTAATTTTGATACTTGATGACTGAAAGTCTTGATTAATTAATTAGATTAATGTGAATATGATTTTTATTATAAAAGCTTGTAACATGTTCAAAATAAAAACTTATTCCATATCTTTATAATTAACTTGTAGATTAATGTTCATAGCACATAGCTGTGCTATTAGAAGCCGGAAGACGTGAGGTATTTCAACGATATCGATTCCATCGCTTCGTCCACATAATTTACATTTTTCCATTTGTTTAATCACATCACCTCCTTTATTTCGTCCCACAACAAATCTGTCAATTGGCGTTATTAAATTTCCACAAGGCTTGCATATTAAGGATGTCGTCAAGTCTGAATTTCTTAACAAACGATCTTGTATTAAAAATGCAGCACCATGTGATATTAAAGCATCACGTTCCATTTCACCAAATCTAACACCACCACCTCTTTTTCGTCCTTTTATTGGCTGATGTGTTAATAAGTCAACAGGTCCTGTCGACCGAACTTGCCATTTATCAGAAACCATGTGACGAAGTCTTTGATAATGAACAACTCCAAAGAAAATGTCAGCTTTTAATTCACGACCATCAATTCCACTGTACATTCGTTCAGTTCCATAATAATTATATCCAGCCTTTGTAAGCATATTTCCAAAATGATCAATGGCTGTATTATCTTCAGAATATGTAAACGGTGTAGCATCATGAACATCACCATTAACAGCTGCACATTTTCCTGCCATCGACTCGATCATCATAGCAATTGTCATACGAGATGGGAAACCTAGATTCAATGAAACATAAATAAGACATTATGTAAATTTTAAACGATTTTTCAAATTTTGAATATTTTAACGGCTTTTAAAACATTTGATTTTTATGCTACTGAATTCAAATTTTTGACAAACGCTAAAACATAAAATTTAAATATTCAAAAATGCTAAAATTCAATTTATCAAAAGTTGTTAAAAATGAACCAACCGTGAGGATTGAAAATGATGTCAGGAATAAGACCACTTTCAGTAAATGGTAAATCTTCAGCAGGATATTTTTGTGAAAAGATTCCTTTCTGTCCAGCTCGACTAGCAAATTTGTCACCAACACATGGATTTCGAGGAATTCTCGTTGTAATTGAAGCCTTTTTCGGAGCAAATGGAGTAAAATCTCCAAGCAGCTTGACATTATCCACAATAACCATTTCCTTTCCGTGATGTTTTTCAACAATAAATGATGTCTCATTTGCATCATAATAACAGCAAATTGGATCACCAGGATTAACTTTTTGGCCAGCAATTGGAAATCCATCAGAATCAATGAATTTAGCTAATTCTGCCTTCTTTGGATCTCTTGCAAAATAACTATCGCCTTTAAGTTCGAAAAATTCTGTATGATAAATTGTTCCATGTGCAAAACCTCGTTCGAATGCTGATTTATTAATAATCATCGCATCTTCCATGTCATATCCAGTATAACTAATAACTGCAACAATCGCATTAGTTCCCATCGCAAAATTATCAAGTTCTATATTATCGTGATGAACTGGACGAAATAGAGGCGTTCCTGGTGTTTGCAGACGATACAATTTAGTTGATGCTTGTGTGAACCAATTAAGGCACGGCGTACCCATTGTTTGTTTTCCCATCTGACACTGATACATGTTTCTTGGTGATTGATTGTGATCTGGCAATGGAATTAAGTTTGCTAGATTAGAAAGGAACGAAAGTTTAGACAGTTCCAAATGTGTCGTCATTTCTGGATGAATTTCTTTCTTTGTTATTGCTATTTCCAAGAAAATTTGCTCAAATGTTCCAATCATTTCTATTTTATTGAATTTAAGATTAAGAACTGGTCTCATCATTCGAGCAGCACCAATGAATATGAATAAACCAGGATATTGACCACAGTTCTTCTTTGGAACTAAAACTATTTCAGCTGTATTTGGTATTCTTTTTCCATCAATTTTAACTGCACGAAGTTGTTCCTCAACTTTATTAATCAATTCATCTTGTACATATCCAATAATTTGTCCTTCAAGCATCACTGTGTAGTAATTCTCAAGATCACAAAGGAAGTTTGAATCAATCGGTTCCATTCCAAGTTCTACAAACAATTTAATAATGTCTTTTATATCAAGTTTATGTAAAACATCTGGCGATGATATACAATCGACTGTCAAGTGATTTAATAAGCCACAAGGAGATCCGTCAGGCGTATGTACAGGACAAATGTATCCCCAAGCATCAGGCAATAGTTGACGTGCTTCTGTTGTTCGCATTGTCACAAAATACGAACCACGATGAACAGCACGGAAATGACTCATGTAACGCATTCGATTGATGTTCTCAGCCATAATAACCAGACCTAAAGAATTTGGAAAAAAAGTGACAGGTTTTATTTTGAATTTTTGAAAATCGTTAAATTTCTGAAATCCAAAAATCTGTTAAATTTTTACCTGAATTTTGCATTAATCCTAATCCAGTTTTACTGACCAAGTTTCCAGTAGCCAAAAAGTATTCAAAATGTCTCATTAAATTTCCACAATATCGCCCAGCTGTCTGCAGATCTGTAACCTTAATCCCAATAGATTGATCAGTATTAAGCTTCTTATTTAAATTAATTTTCATTGAAGTCATCCAGGAATCGAGAAACTCTTTAAATAACTTTTGATATAAATGTCCACCAAGAAGCAGTTCCTGCATCATGACTGTATCTGCAGATTCAAGCTTTACTTTGCCTTGAGCAGCTTGAAAGAGTTTTTTGGTCATAAAAATGATGAAATTGTATTTATCGGTATAGTCATCAAGATGAATAAGGATGCACTTTAACAGCATATGATCAGCGACTTCTAAGTTTGTTGCCCAAGTTGGTAATTTATCAAAGCGCGACTTAAAGACTTGTCCTAAGTAATTCTTAGCATCAAAATGTGTGTGTATGTTCTGTCTATGAATCTCATGAAGCATTTCTTGAAGGCACGACTTATAATACAAGTCATTCTCATATCCAGCAATTAAATCCTTATAAATCTGCTCATCACTATGATTCACTAAAGCTTTGAGTAACAAAATAACTGGAATATATGACAACAACTTCTTGTGACTGAACATAAATTTGGCAGTTCCATTTTTAAGAAAATGAAGTACATTATTTGTTGATGTATGATCAACTGAAACAGATCTCACAATAACACCATAATCTGTGAAATATTTGCCACGATCCTTCCATGTTCCTCTTTTCATGGCTATTGCATAATTTCTCCGCATCATCAATAGCATTCTTATTAATTTCTCATTTCCTTTGACCACGAAATATCCTCCCCAATCATGTTCATGTTCATTCTTCTTTACCATCTCTGCTGGTGACATCCCGTCCAAATTGCATGCTTTTGACTATAAAATATTAAAATTGACAGTTATATTTTCGAAAATTTGAATTTTAACTCCGAAATTAAGAAAATTTGAATTTCATTCGACTGATAAAAATGAGAAATATGTTTTGAAGCTTAATACATGAACTTACTCGAATCATTATAGGAATTGGTCCTAAATCAAAATCGATAGATCCATGTCTTGAGCCATTTTTACTCCATCCAAGAGTCATTGAGCAATTTCCTGTGTATGTTACGGATCTTTGACGAGCTTCTGCTGGAAATACTCTTCTTTCTTTTACATCAATCTGTTGTGTGATCCTTGGTGCTGTTATTTCACATTGTTCTATATTTAATTTAATCTTTTCTCCATTAATTAGCTCAAATTCATAAGGATCCAGACTGTCAATAATTGTTTTCATGCCATCAGTAAGGAAGTGATTGAACGACGAAACGTGTGGATCTCCAAGATTTTCTAAAATCTATTTAAAGTATTATAAATAAAGCTTGTTACATGTCATTTTGATATTATTACAGCTTACCTTGTTCCTATCATTCTTTATTTGATAGAATAGAGGATGTGTATTCGTCAGAACTGGCTTTTCATACAATTTCTCCATAATTCTGTGAATTTTTAAAAACAAAGATTTTCAGGTTATGTCGACTCTACATAGAAAATAGATTTTACATCCACTAATACCACTTTATTTGGGTAACGACGACTTAATTTGAATGTTTTTCGACCGTTAAAAATAGGATATATGCTACCTGTTTCACTAAAGTCGTGTGCGTCCTACAGAAACTTTTGTTTTGATTGCTCATCACAATACCTAAAATTTAAAATTTCATTAATATCCCAATTTTAATCGAATTAAGACGTAAAATAATAGTTATGGAGTATGTATTTTGTGGAATTAAGTTTGCTGAGCCTCGCAATTACGAGAAGATTCGTGTGGACATCAATTTTAATGAAAATTCAGTGACATTAAAGGAGAAAATTCAAAAAGATATTTTAAAAACAAAGGATGAAATTTCTTTGATCTTCTGTGGCAATGAACTGAATGATGACGAGCCTATAAATAAGTATAATTTGCGTACTGGATCTACAGTTCAAGTTTTAAGGAGAATTATTGAGATCCCACCAAAAGAATTTACAACAAAATTCACGGAAATGGATGTCTCTCGTGTCAGTTCCTTATTTAGAGGCTTAAATTCCGGAAACTTTCATGTAAGCTTTAGCTGAGCAATAAGTTTGGCAATGATTATTAATTTTTCTTCTTTGTTTCTATTAGAAAATATCAAGACCGGAAGTTATTCAGCAAATTTATAAGAAACATCCAGAACTACAAAGAGACATTATAGCTATGAGCTTTTTAAAGGATCCAATTCTTTTATCGACTCTCCAAAATCCAGATACTGTCCGTAATATGGCTGAAAATCATCGCATGCTAGTTGAAGCTGCTGAAACAATCTGCAAAGCATTAAGATCAGTTAAAGCGACAGCAGCTGAGCCACAAATGCCAATTAGACGTAGCTTTGAGGACCTTTCTGACTCATCATCATCGTCTGGATCTGAAAACTTGCCAAGAGCATCAACATCGAATGCAGCAAATATCCGAATTACAACTGACTTTCTACGACAAAGTCTTGAACAGGCTCGACAGAATCAAAACTCATTGGAAAATATATCTCAAAGGAATTTAAGTCAAAGCAGTTCCATTTCTCCATCAAGTTCCTCATCATCAGTTCCAAATAGACGTAATATAATATCCAATTCAATGGTAATGAGTGCTATTGATGAAGTTTTGAGAGCACGTAGATCTGAGACTGATATTTTAGCAAGGGAACCAAGTGTTTCGTCCACAGCATCCTCAAATGTTGAAAGTCAGCCAACAGAAGTGGCCCAAGAACAAATTGAAGAGCCAGAAATTGAAAGAATGGAAGATGAAGACAATAGTGAACGTGATGCTCGTGATATAGAAATGATAACAAGTTTCCAAACTCAATTGAGACAGATGGAAGACATGGGTTTGTCTAATAAGGCTGCAAATATCCAGGCATTGATGGTATGCAATGGAAATTTAGAGGCTGCTGTGAATTTAGTGCTTGCTGAAATGAATATGAGCTAGATTGTTTATTTTTTATTGATTAATTTATTAACTTGTCATGTTTTTCAATAATAAAGTATGAACACCCTGTATTGTACCCAAGTGTTTGAGGATCCATATTTTCTATTTCACATTTTCGAGAAAGTAAGTATAACTTTTTATGCTGTTGATTCGCCGTTGGAAGCTTTAGAAGAAATTTGATGTAATTAAATTGAACAACAGTCGTTAAAAATTTGAATTCTTATCAGATTTTTAAAACCGTGAACCCCCTTTAAAAAATAATAAAACAACAAATCACATTTTAATTAACTTTCTAAGCAGTAAATGAACATATTAAGGATTCAAATTGGTAAGTTGAAGTGTATAGTATCAACAACAAATGGAATATAATAAAATCCAATCGTATTTCAGCAAGATTATCGTCAAAAATGTCAGAGCCGATAAAAACAAAGATTAATGAATGCTTATCTCGAGAATTGAGTCCTATAAAGCTAGAAGTGGTGAATGAAAGCTATATGCATGGCGTACCAAAGAACTCAGAGACTCATTTCAAAGTGCTTGTTGTGTCAGAAAAGTTTACTGGATTAAGTCTTATTCAACGGCACAGAATTGTCAATAATTATCTGAAGGAGGAACTGAAGACGGAATTTCCACATGCATTGTCAATAGTAGCTAAGAATCCAACAGAATATGATGGAGAATATAAATTGGAACCATCACCAAATTGTCGAGGTGGATTTGGCAAATAGACTAAGTTTAATAGAGTTCTGATGATTCCTGTAAATTTAAAGACATAAACTGGAAGTAAAACATGATTAATTTCTAAAATATCAACGATTTATTGGTAATTTTTAAATGCACTATAATTTAAAAATAACGATCAATTTGAATTCAAAAAAGGTTTAAACTAGACCTGATTTTAAATTTTCACCGTTATTCAACGGATTAGACCACATGTCTGCGAAACGCAAGCACATGTACATGCTGCGAAATTGATAATAATGGCACTTAATTAATACATATTTAATTGCTGATAAAAGCTTAAAGCGCACGCGACATGAAATAAGATTAATTATAAAGTTAAAAGGTCCGTTCTTTTTATCACAACACATGTTATCTTTAAGTTGATAAAAAAGAAGTTTGTGTCTATTCTTTTCAACTTATTGTTGTATTGATAGATGATTCCGTTATCGACGATTGACTTTGATCACTCGAAGACTCATATGTTGTGCTCTGATTCATCAATCCAGAGAAATCAGGAACTTGATGTTCAGAATTTGATAGCAGGAAGACTGGAAGTTGTTCTTCAGTATTTGAGCTTTGAGATGTGCTGAATGATGACATTAGACCAGATAGTGCAGGGAAATTTGAGGATTCTCGATGCTCTGCTGAGTTCACAGTTAATGGAATTGCCGAACTGACATTTTGACTGTCCAAAGAATCGATTGTCGTTGGAACTAGCTGAGTAGTCATTGTCTTTGAGAATTTCATCAAGTCTGACATTTCGAGTTGATTACAAATTTTATTATGATTTGTAGCAGTTCCATTACTATTCATATAGTCATTCATGTTCGGTGTGTGGATTTCAGGCTTAACAAAATTATTTATTCGATTAGCTTTTGTCGTCAAGTCAATTGATGAAAATGGATAATTTAAGTCATTTACAATCTCATCGATATTCTCATTTGGCACTGAAATATCAACACTTGCAGCAGGTCCATTTGCAGGTCTTTCGGGTTTATTTTCATTCGATAATTCAGCCACGAAATCAGCTGCTTGAAATAATTGGCACTTAATCAACAATTCAAGGAAATGACTGACTTTGGGCCTTAACTTTCCCATTGTACTCCATTCATCCAGTAGCACTAAAATAGCTGATTTATTGTGTCTTTGAGAATGTTCTCGTATTGCATCAATATGCTCACTATTAAACCTTAGTTCTGAGTCATTATCCTCGAGATTTTTAACAATATTTCCCATCAATAAACTTAAAACAGAATCATCAACATCTAATAGCTTCACTAATTGCAATTGAATCTGTATTGGTAGATGTCTTAATTCTGTATCTTTTGATACATTTGGAATGCTCATTTCTACTTATTTAAGTTAAGAAATTAATGATAAACTAATAAATAAAATAAAAAGAATTAAAAACTTTGTTGATGTTATTACTATTTTCGAAATTTCGAACATTTTCGATATTGAGCAAAATAAGCTTTTGAATGTATATGAATTTTTCAAATCCGTTGCAAGAGCTTTTTTCAAATTTTTTTGTGTTCAGATTCAAATTAAACTCAAAATGATCGAAAATAAGGCTTGTCAGGGTCCAAATGTAAGTTTTTCATTAATTTTAAATTAAGAATTTCATCAATTCATCCCAAAATAGTTACAGAAGAAGCGAATTGTGGCTCCATTCTCGATGTCAGCTTATCAGAAAAATACTATGGTTTTCCCACCATCCAAGTGAGTCTTAAATAATGATTACAATGATTTAAAATGATTACAATTCATGATTTAAATGCAGGATTAATGTCTATGAAGAGAGAATGACTTACACCAGTAAATTCCGAGTACTGTACTTGAGAGGTGACATCCCATGCGTTCGTTCGTACTGCAAGAAAGACGAAGGATCATTTATATCGTGGAAGGTTGATTCGCTGAGGGATTTAGACTATTCTTATTATTTACCGATATTTTTTGACGGGTAATTGCTTTTTTTCTTGCTAGGGTTGTCTAGTTTATGGCATATTAAGGTGCCACATGCTGCATGATTTTCTATTTTTAAGCGCGTTTTTCTCGGAGTAAGAAAAGGTTTAACAACTGCAAATAGCTGCATTCTTTCTGTCTGTCTGTATAACTTTGTTTGACAGTTGATTTTGAAATTTAAGCATAGATTTCAAATATTTTTTGACAGTTATTTTCAAAATATTTTGACAGTGATTTTTCATTTATTTAAAAGAAAAATCCGCTTTTATTCATATGCTCATAAGCAGGCCTTATCATATTTATTTCCTATTATCATATTTCATCTTATTTTTCTCTTTTCTATCCCTATTCTAACTATACACATACCCTTCACCCCGCTCATAAACACATTCCGATAAATTTCAATTTCATTATCAGATTATGTGAGGCTGCATTCCCATACAACTTCATCGCTCGATACGCTATACACGATTTGTTGAATGCCGCAAGCGATAAAATTCTACCCGTGATTCCAAAACTCATAATTCCGATTAAGAATGCTCTAAATACCAAAAATTGTGATATTATAATGACAACATTACGAATTATTCATCACATGTGCATTTGTGGTAAGTTTCTCAGCTTTTAAGTTGAATTTGAACTTGCTTCTTAATGATGATACGTGATTTTTGAATATACCACTGAATCACGTCTCAATCCACTTGATTTTCTTTCAATTTCTAGATCCATGTGTTGCCGAGGCACTGGTTCCATTCTATCGACAGTTACTTCCAACATTTAACTTATTTCGTGACTTTAACTCGAAGCTTTCTGGTGGAATCGATTATGATCGCAGTGGACGAGTTGGGGACGTCATTGATGAGACTTTATCAGTTCTTGAAGCTTATGGAGGTCCAGATGCATTTATAAACATCAAGTACTGTATCCCGACGTATGAAAGTTGCGCAAATAACTGAATCAGTAATCAGTTCTGCCTGAACGGATAAATAAAAGCACACACGTAAATTCTGACTTTCTTCTTGTTGTTTTAGGTATGCAATCTTGAATAATGTAATTGGGCACGTTCCTGTGGCATAACTTCAGCTCATTTTTTAACTCCGTTATTCTCACTTATTCCGATTGTATTAATCTGACTTCTTTATAAAATATTCGGAATGGAATTGGATAAATTACAATTGGAGAGACATGTGTGTGTGTGGGGGTATGGCATGCATGAATAGATTTGCAATATTGAGAGTTATTGTAGCTGATCTTTTGGTTTTTTCTTTGTTATTTTAGATTTCTGTGCTTTTAACAGTTTTAAAGCTTGTAAAAGATTCGATAAAATTTTAACGGTTTTCAAAAAATTTGAACTTTGCATTTCGAAATTCATTAAATTCAAAGATTGTAAACAAATCAAAAAATATTGAAAAATGCAATTTTACAAGGCATAACCAAGCTCAACAGTTGTTAATTGTATAGAATTGACAATCCGTGATGCTCCAAATTAGTTCACTTGAAGAATAATCCTCAAATAAGCCACAATTTCGATTAAAAACAAAAAAATGTTTAATTTCGAAAAATTCGAAATCGTTTTTTGCATAAATTTCAAAAAAATAATTTTCCGTTGAAAGCTTAAGGTATTGTCTAGCGCAATAACGCAATAACGAATATTTTTCAAAAAAGAACAATTGCATTATTGGAAATTCTACAGATTTTAACATTTAGTCTGAACACCTTCTCAGCTTGTTACTTAATAAGTAAATTTGCTATAAAACATTTAGCCATCACTAATTCAGACAAAACAACTTAAAAATAATTCCAAAGACAGTCTCCACATCATAACTTCTCTCGTGCTTCCTGCAAATGTTTCCATCGACTTTAACAAATTTACGATGACTTAATTTAATACACTATGGAAGAAAGAAACTTTTTCTTTGGGGAGTCGTTCATGAGTTATGTCTAGCTTTTGGGTTATGACCCCCCAAAACATGTGTGACAAAGAAATAAAAAATCAATTAGGAGTCTAAAAGTTCTTTAGACATCATTTATGATCATTCCATTTTAAACTTCATGTCTCTTCCTTCTTAGTTGAAAAAACTTTTAACACGAAAGAGAGAAAAAAACATTGTTCGTTTATTGCAGCTTCTAACTTCTTCCTTCATACCTTTCTATAGATTAAAATATCATGTTGTGGGAAAGTATATGCAATGAGCTGAAGCACTTAATTTTCATTTAAAAGAAAAGAAAATGTTTCTTCTTGCTTCCTTCAATGAAATGTTTATGATGACAGACGCGAGTGACGAAAAAGAAGTTTAAGATAGAACAAACAAGCGACAGCATCATTATATGGAAGCGAATGTTGTGTATAATATAATTTGATAAAACAGAATGAGAGAACTCTTCTCATTATCCTATGATGCTGTACATAATTGGATGAATTTAGTTACACATTGCATATATACATCGAAAGAGGACATAAAGTGGTGAGTAAGTTGGGGACATATAATTGACTAAAGCGCATCTTATAAGGGAATTTAAGTTTTGAAAAATAACTGTCGAAAAATAACGTTAAAAAAATATTTGAATTTAACGGTTAAAAAAATTCAAAATTTTCTTGGAACTGACAAAAATTCAAAGTGAATCTATTTGCTTTGATGAACTTTTTAAAGCACATGGACAACATGCAGGCAAAAGAATCTTCTCACACGAAAACAAAACACGATAAAAATCCTTAATCCATTATTTATGACACCAATGGACATGATAGCGTTGATGACGAGGACCCATGTGAAAAGATATGAATTTATTTACATTATTAAAGTGGCATGTAAAGCACGAAAGATTTTCTGCCATTTTGACAGGCACTCATTGTTGATCAGAATGACGAATAGACTTACTTCATTATACATGTTAATTAAAATGCAATACATGCTTTGTCATGTATAGAATCTCATGTATAGACCATGTTGTAGACCTTGACATGCGCAATCGATGAATCCGAGTGATTTACTTGATATGTCCTTACAGCAAGTTCGAAAAAATAGTTGTATGTGTGCAGTATATACACGGCACATTTGTGTAACACGAAGTAAGAGTAGAAAAAAAAAATTACAAGGACAATCACAATACACAATGTGGAATCAGTCAGAGTATGATAAAAGGGGTAAACATTTACCTCCGTCTGCTGATTATGACATAGCGAGCATTAAAAATGTGTGGAATGGGTGAAAGGACTTGCTCCTACTAATATTTTGGGTATTATCTATTAAATTAGCTAGGCTTGAGGAGATAATGGAAGGAATTGAAAATATTGCATCTAAAATTTCAACCTGAAAGCTTAATACTTAAAAGAAATCATAAATAAGGATAAGAACAATTACTTTTGATGATGTAAACATGATTATGGGCAATTCTACGAAAAGGTTTCACGAAAATAATCCGTGTCAATTGCATGAAATTTTTTAATTATTTTATTTTCACTTGTGCATAGTTTTTCAAAAATCTAATTCTCATTTCCTTTTCTATTGGTTAAACTGTGAATTATGATTACATCTGCACTCAAATTACTTAGCTATGGCTTGAGAAATTCATGGTTTTAATTTTAATATTTGGTGGTTTTTTTGGAATTGTCTCCAAATTACTCTGTTTCACTTATGAAATTTTTCGTAGAATCCAAATTGCAGCTTAATTAAGGCTTCCACAAATATGATTTTGACATCGTTTTGAAGCTTTTACTTTAAGCTATAACTTTGCATACTTAGTATTACTGGAAATTTTACCACCTTAAAGATATTAATGAAAACATTTTGGAAATTTGGGCGAAAAAATTCATGTGAAACAGAGTAATTTTTCGTAGAATGTAAATAATTCTTTAATTAACCATTTTTAATATGTTTGGGTGAGAACAATATGTAGATCTCGGTAAAATCTACTATTAAATACATGAAACATGGGGAGTAATGCAACTGATAAAGAGAAATATAGATTTGGAGACAAATTTGTAGAAAAAATCATTCGTAGAATCGCCCTTATAATGTCTAAATCAAGTATCTATCATCGACACGTGCTTTTTAATCAAAAATCCGTTAAAAGCTCAAATTCAAATAAATTTTTGAAATTTTCGAAATGTTTCTTGACAGTTGATTCTCCCCTGTTTATTTCGAAAAACGTGCTCACATTCTGTTTACATTCGGTAAAAAAAAAAACAAAATCAATTAAATAAACTAATAATGAAGGCTAAGAAAGGCAAGAAAGGTCCTAAATCTGATGCAATTTACGATAAAAAGTCAAAAGTGATAGTAAGGAAAGAGAATCCATTTGAATTGCACGTAAATAGAGAAAAGTTTAATGTGTTGAATAGAAAAACTCATCATAGTTTTGGAAAACCATTACTTGCACGACAAAATGCATTTGAAAAAAGAAAACAGACACTTGGTGCTGAATATAAGGTCCAGAACAAGTCTAATTTGTTTGAGGATAGACGAAAGTCGGGATTTAAGAAACTTCCAAGAGAGTCAATTTACAACTTAAATGATTCGGAACAACTTACACATCGTGGACAGACATTGGAGCAAATTGAACAATTTGATGATGCTAGACCTGATGACGATGATGAAATGAGCGACGAGGAACTAAGATTAGATGGTAAATAACAAATTCTCAAAAAAAAACGTTGAAAATTAATTATTTTATTTTGTCAATTTCCAGCAAATTTCACAAAAGTGGCTCATTTCGGAGGTGGAAATGATGAAGAATCAATGATTGACAGAAAAACAGCAATCGATGAGCTCATTGCTGACTCAAAAAAGCGTAAAGCTGAACGAGTAAAGGAACACGAAGAAATGTTGGATCTTACAAACAAATTAGACAGTGATTATAAGCATCTCCTATCAGTTGTCAAAACTTTAGAGCGTACAGAAACTCCGGAAAAGCCAGAAGCTGATGAATATGATCGATTAGTTAAGGAAATGATATTCTTGCCGAGAGGCGAGCCTACAAATAAATTAAAGAGTGAAGATGAAATTGCAAGAATTGAAAAGGAGAAATTGGATATGTTAGAGATGGACAGACAAAGGAGAATGCAAGGAGATGAAGATAATCCAGAAATTAGGTCTACTTATAGATCTGCAGATGATTTAGACGATGGATACTTCCTAGAACCTGTAATTGATGATGAAGATGACAAAGTATTAAGCTATCCATTAAATCCAGAAGATGTAGATCCACAAAATGAACCAGACAATGAGCAAGAAGATGATATTCCCGAAAATGGGGAAATTGGAAGTAAAAACGAGGAAATCGAAAGTGAAAATGAGTCAGAAAATGCCGACGAAGAACAATCAGAATCAGAATCAGATGCAGACAGTCTGGAGGACTTAAAAGCTGACAATTCTGAAAGCGACGAGAATACATCTGATGAAAACGACGAAATTCCAGCAAGTACAGCACCAACTAAGCTCGATAAGAAGAATATAGAACCTATGGATCATATTCCATTCACAATATCACTTCCTGAGACTTATGAAAAGTTTATAGAGTTATTAGGTGCTCAATCTATTAAAATCCAATCCACAATAATTGAAAGAATCATTAAAACTGACCATCCAAAGCTTCATTTCTCGAATAGGAACAAAATGATCAAATTATTCGCATATTTACTGCAATATGTCAATGACTTGTTCCTGAGCAATGACGAAAGTAATATAACTAAGCATTTCAAGCTTGTCCACAATCTTAGTCCATTAATGTTCGATTTAATACAAATGAATCCCGAGGACTGTTCAAGTAGCTTCCTTGAAGTTTTTAAAGAGAAATACGAGGATTATAAGAAGAATCAAAAGGCGTATCCAAAATTAGATACAATAATCTTCTTTAAATTCCTTAGTTCTCTATTTCCAACATCAGATTTTCGACATCCAGTGGTCACGCCTTCCTACATCTTCCTGCATCACATATTATCGCAGTGTAAAGTTAAGACTCGATCTGATGTCATGTCTGGATTATATTTAGTGACTTTAACTTATGATTATCAGAGAATATCAAAGAGATTCTTACCAGCAGTGCTGAATTTTCTTAAAGGAATTTGCTATTTAGGAATTAAGAAGTCATTGATTGATAATTCACGTCCAATTCCTCCATTTAAGAAGAAAGATGAGCTTTTAGTGGTCAGCAGTGAAATTGATGTTATTTCCAATGAAAAGCTCAAACCAACAGACTTTCTGGTTACTGATATTGATGATGAATTCAAGGTTCGAGCGATTAGCACAGCAGTTGGTCTTATTAAAGACTATATGCTGCTTTATGAGGAACTTGTTGGTGTTCAATATTTAATCGATTCCTTTGAAAGCTTATTGAGCAAGCTTTCAGATGAAGAAAAGCTTCCTGAAACTTTAAAAGCTACAATTAATGAAGTCCTGAAAGAATTTGACAGAATCAAGTCTGAAAGGAAGTTCAAATATCCAGAAGCAGAGAAGAAGAGCTTACCAATGTTAAGAATGTTGGAACCAAGATTCGAAGCTGTTCATTCAGATCGTCGTCAAATGTATTGTCAGTCTCAAGGAAATGCAGCTGAGAAGAAAAAGCTCCAGCACATGCTGAAACGTGAAAAGAAGTCAGCTAAACGTGAATTGATCAAGGATAATGAATTTTTGTCAAAGATTAAGCACAGGCGAATGCAACAAATGGATGTTGAACGTAAAGAGAAGGTTCGCAGAATTTTACATGAAGGCAATGTGCAACAAAGTGAATTTAAGGCACTGTCAAGAACTAAAGGACGAAAAGGAATATTTTAAAGTCTTTATTTTTGGGATTCTTTAGTAAACAAAATAAATTTCTTGAATTGATTAAAATATTTGTGCATTAATTTCCGTCTGCTGTGACTTATTGCATATATAGACTTTGACAGGCTTGGATTGAGACTTGATGTGTCGAGGATGTCATTTAATGTTGTTTGATTCTGTTCCTTTATGAGAAAATTGCAGATTCTTTGAATTTCTCTGGTTTTTATTGTGAATTTTTGCCAGATTTTCAGATAATTTGCTAGAATTTTCCTTTTGTAGTATAAGTTGATGATGGTGAGTTTCAACCTCTTGGCTCTTCTCTTTAAAGCGTACTTCCTTAATTGTAATAAATATTTAATCTTTAGCTCGTTATTCTTGTACTCCATTTTGACTGTGACTGAATCTTTTATTTTGAATTTTTCGAAAAGCTGAAATTTGAATTTTCGAAAACTGTTTATATTTAAAATTTTGAAACCCGTTCTTCATTCAAAAATGAAATAATCGTTAAATTCAGACTTGATATATTTTATTCAGCAATTTGCAAGTTAACTTCACTATAAATTCGAATACAAATTAATTAGACTTTGAGAAGTATTCTTGAGAGCCTTTTGGATCAGGTTTAATTGTGGCTTTGTTCTTCTTTTCATCCCAATTAGCAGGACAGACTTCTCCATGCTTATCTGTGAACTGGAAGGCTTTTATAAGACGTAACGTTTCATCAACACTACGACCGACAGGCAAGTCATTAATCGTTATCTGTCGGACCACTTGCTTGGGATCTATTATGAATAAACCACGTAGAGAGATTCCATCTTCCAATAAAACACCATAATCAGCAGAAACCTTCTTTGTTAAGTCAGCAAGTAAAGGATACTCAATTTTGCCAATACCTCCTTGCTTTCGTGGAGTATTAGACCAAGCCAAGTGACTGAAATGTGAATCAACAGAAACACCAACAACTTCACAGTTTAAATCTTTAAACTCATTAATACGGTCCGAAAATGCAATAATCTCTGTTGGACATACGAAAGTGAAATCTAATGGATAGAAGAACAGCACCAAGTACTTTCCAGAATAATCACTTAATTTGATTTCTTTAAAATCATTATCAATCACAGCAGTTCCAGCAAAATTTGGTGCTGGCTTTTGAACTTGAGCTGCCAATAATCTCGATGATGCTTAATTGATAAGGAATGACTTGTTAATTACATAAATAAAGAGATTAGAAAGTGAAAAACTTACTTGAAATTAATCGTGCATTTTGACGGATCTAGAAGTGATAATTGCGAGTTTCTTTAGTTTATTCTGGTACATCAATGGTTAATTACTTATACTTACTGTTCTGATTAGTGAATTAACTGCAAATGCCATGGTTTTTAATTAATTTATATTTTCACTTTTGATGATAAAACAGCCTTAATGGATCTTGATTTTTGAAGCAATAAACCCCCTAAATTTCAGTATCTGATGTGTAGAACTCCAGCACGTTTGTTGACATTCAAAATCATCAATTTTTGAAATAGAATTTTCTTGATATTTAATTAATTAAGCAGTTTACTGGAAGTTAAATCAGTCAAAATGGTAGATAAGAACTCAGATCAAAGTATTATGGATAAATCCATGAGATCCGTTTTCGGTAAGTGCTTAAAATTGATTCAAAATCCTTATTTCAGTCTAAAACATACAGTGATGCCGGTTAAAATATTCTGTGTCTAATTTCTTAGTGTATTTGATTATATTATCCATTTAATATTACATTAAGTCCCAAACCATCACTAGACATCCTCAAAACTATATTCATAAACTAATCCAGTTCTGTATCTTTTCATTTTCCAGTGGGGAACATTCCATATGAAGCTACAGAGGAGAAATTGAAGGATATATTCTCAGAAGTAGGACCTGTTATATCTCTAAAGCTTGTTTTTGATCGAGAAAGTGGAAAGCCGAAAGGTTATGGATTTTGTGAATACAAAGATCAGGAAACAGCACTGTCAGCTATGAGAAATCTCAATGGATATGAAATTGGTGGCAGAACATTGAGGGTTGATAATGCTTGTACAGAAAAATCGAGAATGGAAATGGCTGCATTGCTATCTGGTCCTCAAGTTGAAAATCCTTATGGTGATCATTGTAGTCCAGAAGAAGCACCAGAAATCATTAGCAAGACTATTGCGTCACTTCCTCCAGAGCAAATGTACGAGCTAATGAAGCAAATGAAGCAATGCATTCAAAATAATCCACATGAAGCACGTCAAATGCTCATCCAGAATCCTCAACTTGCTTATGCTTTATTACAAGCTCAAGTCGTTATGAGAATCATTGATCCAGCTACTGCTGTGGTATGTAACTTAATAAAATCGAGAACTTTACGTTAAATTTTGAATTATTTGAATACTGCTAAAATTTGAATTTTTGACAACCGGTAAAACATTTAATTATATTCCCCAGACATTCTTATTCAAACCAAACATCATGCCGCCAGTCTTGACTACACAATCGACAACACAAAGTGTTCAAGCAATGATGAATACGACATTAGCAGGCATGGGACAGCCACCATTAAGCATGCAGCCAGCTATTCCAGTACCGTTTTCACAAGATATCGATTTGAGAGCTGATCCTCGTCTTGGTCGACAACAACAAATGCCACCAAGTTCGATGGATATGGATATGCGAATGATGCCAAGTCAAATGCAAATTCCACCTGTTTTTGATCAACGATCGATTCCACAACAAACACCACAGGCATCATCAAATCCAAGACAATTTCCAGCAGATCCAAGACAACGAGGTTCTGATCCAAGAGGAGATCCTAGAGATCCACGTGATCCACGTCAAAAAGCTCAACAGCAATCTCAAAGTTCACAGCTTGCTGCTCAAATTCATCGTGGGATACAAAATGATGCAAGTGACCAAGAAAAAGCGGCGCTTATTATGCAAGTCTTGAAGCTGACTGACGAGCAAATAGCAATATTGCCTGCTGAACAGCGTGCAAGCATTTTAGCACTGAAAGAACAAATTGCAAAAAGCGCCAATTTGAAATAAAGTCCTTTAATCATTAATGTTCTGTAATCTTGAATGTTGGAAAATTAATTAATAAATTTATAAATTAATGACAAAAAATTTCGAAAATTTGCTTTTTTACCGGTTTTCAAAATTTTGAATTTGTAGTTCTAATTCAGTTTTTTTAAAAATTCAAAATTTTGAAAGCTGTTAACAGATATTTTGATTACCCTGTTTTTTCGTTATAAGCTAAGGGGCCGTTCACTTATTACGTTCGCATTTTAGGGGGGAGGGGGGGGGGGGGGGTTTGAAAAAAAAAAATTTGTTTACAAATTCATACCAAAAACCTTTTTTTAAATTTTTCGCCTTTTTAATGATAAAATAAATTATGAACGTTCAGGGGGGGGGGGGGTTGTGAGTTGTAACATATTGTAACAAGGGGGGGAGGGGGTGAAAAAAAGTCGTTTTTTTGCGTAACGTAATAAGTGAACGGCCCCTAGTAGCTTAGAAGAATAAAAAAGTGATTTTTTTGGCTCACTAGTAGCTTAGTAAAGAAATTGACCTTCAATGAAAATTTTGAATTTTTTAACTTAATTAAAGAAATTTTGCTATCTTCTCGATTTTATTTCATTGACAATGTCAAAAGTCATTGGAACTGATACTTAAATAGTTGAAAAAGATTAATTATACTTTATTTTTGGTAGTAGCTTAGTAAAGATTACAAAAAAATTTCAAGTTCAAAAAAACTTTACTAAGCTAGTAGCTTATAACGAATAAACAGGGTAATTGATTTAAAATTATTCTGTTAATCATCATTAGTCGTGTCTGAAAATTCAATTTTTGAAATGAATTTATTTGATAGACATCAATAACAAAGATTATACCGTGATACATTCGGATACAAGGATGCTATGTATTATAAATATGATGATATGCGAAAAGTTGTATATTTCAGTATGTAAAGAGCTTTTAGAAAGTTGAAAAGTTTTTTTTAAATTTTCACAAGCTAGCTTGATAGAACTTTTCTTAAAAAGCTGTGCGGATTGAGCATTAACTCGTTGACTGTGGAATATTGCAACATTTATTCGACAAAATTTATAAAACACAAAAGTCATATCTTATTGATAAAGATCCTCCGAGTGTTCTCACTTTATATGATCTTGCGTTTGGATTTTATATTTGGCTTGGAACTTTCGGAATATCTATTTTAGCATTTTTCATTGAGATCTCAGTGTGGATGCTTAAAAATATAAAATCAAGAAGCGCTGGAAAGAATAAGAAAAAATGTCAAAAGTATCTCAAACGAGTAAAATATTGTGAAGTATATCCAAGTATGTTTGATAATAGCCAAACTCAAAACTATATTATTAAACCAGCAACTTTAAAAAAGTTCAAAATTCACAAAAATAATTCAACATCTAGCAAGAAATGGCCGAAACCAGCCAGCATGAAATTAATTTAAAAGCACTGACTCAGTACTGGTAAACCAAATGTGAACATGAGCAGGACAAAATCAGAGCTATCCCGACCATTGATAGTGATGTAATTGATAGGCAAATCATGTAAACACAACAAAAATCTATGATCAGTGTATGACCATATCTATGACATATTCTTTTAAAATTGTTGCATGGTGAATCAACATTTTATTATTAAGAAAGAAATGATCGCAGTTATTTTTGAAAATATTGTAAAATTAGTTTGATTTTAGTTGCAATTGTACCACTGTTCGAAATAGTCATTGAAATACAGTCCACTCATTCTAAAACCTTATAACAACATTTTTTATTGGTCCTTCGAACCTTGAGATTGAAACAGTGAAACAAGACGTGGAGTAGACTTAGAAAGTCTTGAAAGAAATTGGAAAATTTGAAGAAAGTTCAAGTTGAAGCTGGCAGATTTGTTGAAGCAAAGTTCAACAAGAATAAGCAATAATGAATACATATGAAGGAAAGAAAGCAAAGCTGAATTCAATAATCGAAGATTTTGAAAGCATAAAAAGCACTTATGACATGTTAAAGGAAGAAACAAATTTTGAAGAAGCAAAAGTGTATCATGATGTGTTCAAAGACATGTTAGATGAATTCAACGAAGTGTTCATTGAATTTGAACTGTTACATCGAAAACGAGAAAATGATGTTGAAACTCAGAAGTTTACTTTGTTCAAGAAACTTGCAGTTATTACAACATTTGAGTTAGCAGTAAAGATAGAAACTCTGAAGAAAGAGCAAGAGAGACGTTTAGAAATCAAAGTAAACGCAATTCAACCATCGACATCATCAACAAGAAGAGTGAAACTTCCTGAAATAAAACTTCCAGAATTCAATGGAGAATTTAGCAATTGGATATCTTTTAAAGATACTTATATCTCCTTGATACATTCAAACCCAATGTATTCAGCAGAGATCGAAGCCGATTTTTTCGGCTTAACTCAATTTTTGATTTTTTTGATAGAAAAAAGCCATTTAACACCCATTTTAAGTATTTAAATTGAACTTTACATGCTTTACTATGATTCTGTGAAATATTTTTTCAGCATGTAGCTATAGTGAGCTCAGAATTTCAAGTTAAAGAATGTTAAGCCGAAATTTAAGCCGATCGGCTTAAAATCGGCTAAATTGAAATTCTGAGCTCACTATAGCTACATGCTGAAAAAATATTTCACAGAATCACAGTAAAGCATGTAAAGTTCAATTTAAATACTTAAAATGGGTGTTAAATGGCTTTTTTCTATCAAAATAATCAAAAATTGAGTTAAGCCGAAAAAATCGGCTTCGATCTCTGGTATTCAGACATTGACAAATTCCATTACTTGAAGTCATCAGTGAATATTCAGCCAGAATCTCAAAATATATTGAACAACTATCAATTCTCAGGAGACAATTACAAATCTGCCTGGGAAGCGTTATGTCGAAGATTTGACGATCGAAGAGTTTTGTTGATGCAATACACAAATTCTCTTATGACAATTAGTGGTCCTATTGATGGTTCCTTATCAGAAGCAAGGAGAGTCCTAGATACTTACATCAGTCATCGTGCAGCATTCAATTTGATGAAAGTTACACCAGAAGAATTATTAGACATGATTTTTGAACAATTTGTCAGGAATCGTTTTGATAAAAATCTCATGAGAGAATGGGATATCCATATTGACAGTAGTGATGAAAAGCAAAGTTGGACTGCTTTCTGTAAATTCATGGATCAACGTATAAAATCATTGGCATTCACTTATCGAGAAGGGAATTCTTTTGGATTGTTAGCAACTCAGAAATGAATTTTTGTCGAGAGGGAAGAACTCTCTCATAGTATTGAGAGTATGAATTAAGAAATCAAGTTTTATCATGCTCAAGTCGTCTTAACAAGCTTGGATCAACATTCAAGTTAATTTTATCTCATCTCATCTCTAGCAATACTTGGACGACCATTCAAGTTTTGCAATCAAACTCATCTCTTCCGAATCATATCTGGCAGAACAGAATTAATATGCAGATTCTCAATAGGCACTAATAGAACAGAATTATTCTATTAGTAAGATCTAGCAAAACAGAACTATTTTGTTATGATCACAATTACGGCGTTATAATTTGTCAGAGCATCTTGCAAGATCTAGCAAAACAGAATCATTTTGTTAGCATCTTCAATATTCAAGTACTGATAGAACAAAATCATTCTATTAGTATATCTCAAGATCTATCAGGACGGAATCATTCTGGTAGCTTCTACGTCATTGGCTTCAAATTATTAACATCTAGCGCTTAAAGCATTTTTGGTTTTGATCATAGTAGGCTTTTTTCAAAAAAAAAATATCGATTTTATATCTTTATTAGCATTCTTTATCATTTATAATGCCTAGATATGTTTTAAAATGCAATTTAAAGCATTTTTGGTTTTGATCATAGTAGGCTTTTTTCAAAAAAAAAAATAGAATTTATATCTTTATTAACATTCTTTATCATTTATAATACCTAGATATGTTTTAAAATGCAATTTAAAGCATTTTTGGTTTTGATCATAGTAGGCTTTTTTCAAAAAAATATCGATTTTATATCTATATTAGCATTCTTTATCATTTATAATACCTAGATATGTTTTAAAATGCAATTTAAAGCATTTTTGGTTTTGATCATAGTAGGCTTTTTTCAAAAAAAATATCGATTTTATATCTATATTAGCATTTATTATCATTTATAATACCTAGATATGTTTTAAAATGCAATTTAAAGCATTTTTGGTTTTGATCATAGTAGGCTTTTTTAAAAAAAATATCGATTTTATATCTGTATTAGCATTCTTTATCATTTATAATACCTAGATATGTTTTAAAATGCAATTTAAAGCATTTTTGGTTTTGATCATAGTAGGCTAGTTTCAAAAAAATATCGATTTTATATCTGTATTAGCACTCTTTATCATTTATAATACCTAGATATGTTTTAAAATGCAATTTAAAGCATTTTTGGTTTTGATCATAGTAGGCTTTTTTCAAAAAAATATCGATTTTATATCTGTATTAGCATTCTTTATCATTTATAATACCTAGATATGTTTTAAAATGCAATTTAAAGCATTTTTGGTTTTGATCATAGTAGGCTAGTTTCAAAAAAATATCGATTTTATATCTGTATTAGCATTCTTTATCATTTATAATATCTAGATATGTTTTAAAATGCAATTTAAAGCATTTTTGGTTTTGATCATAGTAGGCTAGTTTCAAAAAAATATCGATTTTATATCTGTATTAGCATTCTTTATCATTTATAATACCTAGATATGTTTTAAAATGCAATTTAAAGCATTTTTGGTTTTGATCATAGTAGGCTAGTTTCAAAAAAATATCGATTTTATATCTGTATTAGCATTCTTTATCATTTATAATATCTAGATATGTTTTAAAATGCAATTTAAAGCATTTTTGGTTTTGATCATAGTAGGCTAGTTTCAAAAAAATATCGATTTTATATCTGTATTAGCATTCTTTATCATTTATAATACCTAGATATGTTTTAAAATGCAATTTAAAGCATTTTTGGTTTTGATCATAG